AATTTTGTAGGCAAGGAAATGGAGGCTCAACATTGCCTTGCTGGAGTCCCACAGACGAAAAGGCAGAGACTGATTCAGATTTAAACATTTGTTAGCAGGGGCCTAGTTGGAGGTCAGACTTTTTCAGTTGATAGAGAAAAATCAGCAGAGAAGACATGCCTATTGGGGGACACTTTAAAAAACAGTTCTCGGGCTCTCCCTGGTGGCACAATGGGTTAGGACGCAGCACTGCAAGCAAGTTGCAGCCACTTCAGTGAGAGTTCAATCCCCGCCCCGGAGGTGACCCACATGATGCGGCAGACCTCTCCTGACCTGCCCATTGCTCCCCTCAGCAGTGTCCTTCGTCCATCTGCCTGTTCTGCTCCCCACTCTGTCTCTGGTGAAACCTCTCACCGCTCCTGCACTTCTGGCTTGTACCCCAGTTCTGTATGAATAAATAAATCAATCTTAAAAAACAAAACAAAACACAACAGTTCTCAAAGCCTTCCTTCATAATAGTCCTTCCAACCAAAGGCTCAGCAGCTATCTCCATTTGTCAGAACAGACTAGGCTATGGGCTGTGGTAAAGCTGCATGCCAGCAGCTCAACATAGACTGGTTTATTTTTCATTCATCAAGTTTTCCTGCAGCTCTGTGACTCCCTGCCAGTGACTCAGGGATTGCTCTGGGCTATGTAATTTGGAATACATGTCTTCTGGGTGGCTGAGGCAGGCACAAGAGACTTCCACTAGATATTCGATAGTTTGGTTTAAAAGTGAAACATGGTACTTCTGCTGACGGGTATTAGATCTGCTCTAGTAACAGGAAATGTGGGGGTGCACAAGGACATTTGGGTGAGCAATGTTTCTGCCATGTCACCCTAACAAGACACCTTTTATAGGAGAACACATTCCAGAAGATTGAAATCCAAGCTGTTTTTTCTTCTTTGTACATTTCATCGCATGATCCACTATATTTTTTCCAAAACAAAATTAAAAAATCTGTTTTCCCCTCAAATTATTGATTTCCCAGTCATTTTATAGCTACATAATTCTGGGAGATCAGCTTCACATCTTCATGAGTGCACATGCCTCCCTCACAATCCACCACATCTTTGAGTATGGATGTCTTCACTTCCTTTCCTCCTCCGTCCTAGTCCCCTTTGGTTATTTGTGTTTTGAAAGTGACTGAAATCATCTTGTAACTTTCACTGACTGATTTCACTGAGCACTTTGTTGCAAAGGTCAGTGCTTCATTTTTTTCAAAAGCTGTGTAGTACTTCAGAGTATAAATTCCACAGTTACAAGTCCTCCCTCAACGGGAGGTTGGTTCCATGACTTGGCTGCTGTGGCAAATCTGCTACATGGGAAGCTCTGATTTGATGCCACAGGCTGTCCTGCCCCAGCAACCAGTAAACTATACCTTCCATTCTTATGTGCTTTGGACTATAAAGGCAATGTTGAAAGTTTTTAGAGGTATGAGGCAATTTGCACATGTTGATATAATTTTGCCGTATTATACATTCCTTTGGTAAGGGGCATCTTATCTCATTCTTTTTTCTCTTCTAATGCCTTGCACACAGGTCTTCAATAACACATGTGCATGTTACATAAATTCAGCAAATACTGAGGAGATGGTCCCTGTCCTCAAATCTTCACTTTAAATACCCTGATACTGATTAGTATTATGCCTTGTCATTTGTACTGTACTTTAACCACCATTGTCTCATTTTAATGATGGATGTTACACACTGGAATTATACACCAATTAACTTGGACTTTTAAGTGAGTTTCTCAATTTGTAATCTACCTCCTTACACAACTTACCCCCCCGTCATAGCGGCATGAGACATAGGCAGTTTATATTACAGCCAGCAAAGTTACTCAATGCAATGGTTATTATACACTCCCCAAAGGTTAAACAACTCCTTTCTGATCATGCAGATAAATTTGCAGACTTTTTTGAAAAACATCTGCCTATCACAGTAGGACAATATGAAAATTTAAGAAATATTAAAATTTTAGTTTAGATACACGATAGTTTTCTTCTAATCTTTCGCCTTCTTCAAAATTGTTATTATTTAAAGGCACTTTTCAATTTTATGACGCATTTTCATTGCCATAATATGATCACTTTGCAGAAACTTTAAATGCAGAGATAAGAATACATCCATATTAAAAAATATATATATATCCATGATTATCCTTTTCTAACCACTAGTTTATTGGTATACTTCCAGATTGTCTACTTTTAAATTAAAGGAAAATAAGTTATCTCTATTTCTTCTCCTGAAAGGTTATTTGGTATAAGAATACTAGGAAACTGTCATTTTGGATAGACATTTTCATTTAGTGTTTCAGAGACTTTATTGTCAACATGCAACAGCTGTGAGGTGAAGGTTCAGAAGAAACCAGGGAATTTGAGTGATAGTGCTAATTTACATTTTCTCCCTAATTGTATGGGTAAACTTAAGAAAATTTAAGGAAGAAACAGAAAAGAGACATACCCTGTGGTCCTAAATATAAACCATGTAAACGGAATGAAAAAATTTTTTATTATAGAACATAGGATTGGGTAACTTATTTTTCTTCAAATAAAGCCAAAGCTGTATCTTTTTTTAAGACCCTGATTTTCCTAAATATTCACCACAGCAAATAGCTGTAATTAGGATTCATCACACATAATCAGTCTCCAAATTATTTCATGAATACATTCTCTATTGCAATGAGTCCCACCCTACCCCCCCTCCCCGCCCCCAAGTCACTTTCTGAGCCAGCTAAGTTTCACAATGGCCTTCTAAAAACGCAAACTCACACTGTCTGCTTGTCCTGGGCACCCATATCAGGCACTCCCAACTCTATGAAATGTTTTATTCCCATATCTTTTGAACATTTAAATCATTTGATTTGGTGTTTGCTCCGAAGATAGTAGTATTCCAAGAGTCCGCTCACTGCGTATTAAGTGCTGTTCTGATGCCCAGCCAGAGCTCAGCTGTTGGCAAGGGCAGACTGCTCAAGTGTAGTGATTTTATTTCCAACCTTCGCATACTAAAATTATATAGCCTAAACACAAAGCTTCCAGATTTCCCTCTTAAAAACTGAACAAAAACATAATTTAGCATTGCCACAAAATAACTGAGGCAATCTTTGAAATGGGAATTTAAAAATAAAATAGATAGACTCAATAAAATATGGAGGAAATGAATCTTGCTTATAAGATTTGGTAATAGATGAGAAACTGCAACATACATATTATTAGGACACTTATATTTTTCTACTTTTACTGTATAAAAGGAATGCCTTAGGTTGGGCTCTCCCTGAAGTAGATCCTGAGTAAAGGACGTGAGAGCAAGGTGATGCCATGAAGTGCAGGCAGGCAGAGGTGGGGGGAAGTGAGGGAAGGGAAGGAAGCCTCAGAAGGTTATTGCTCTGAGATAATGGGGACCAACCCCATTGGACAACCTTGGAAAGCCAACAGAAAATTCCATGCATCAGACACATCTTAGAGTTGCCCCACCTAAGGGGCAGGAGGGTATCTCTCACCATCTATATGGCAACTATTCCCACTCAGGGTGTTAATCTTCTGTAGTTTCCAACTGACATCCAGCACAGACTGTCAGAACCCCCCACCCAATGGGAATGTAGATCTTTACAGGTCGCCATTACCAGAGCATGCTGGTGCCAAGGCAGCAGGAAGAGCACATCTACATGGCCAAGGGCAAGGGTTTCAATCACAAGGACCTAGTGGAATCCTGCTTATGCCACTTGTAAGACTGAGTAAATGAATTTTTAAAAGATTTATTTATTTATGCATACAAGAACTGGAGTACAGGCCAGAGATGCAGAGGGTGAGAGGATTCACCAGTAACAGTAGCATTCCAGGCTGGCTATTTCAGCTTAATTTTTTTTAAAAAAAGATTTATTTATTTGTGCATACAGAACTCAGGTACAGGGGCGCAGGGGCGGCGAGAGGCTTCACCAGAGACAGAGTGGGGAGCAGAGGAGGCAGATCAACGAAGTACACTGCTGAGGGGAGCAGCAGGCGGGTCAGGAGAGGTCTGCTATGCCATGTGGTCACTTCCGGGGCAGGCGGGGATCGAACTCATGCAGAAGTGGCTTTAGCTTCTCAGTGCTGTGCTTTAACCCACTGCGTCACCAGGGAGGGCCCTGTTTCAGCTTAATTTTGAAAGACTACATAGAAGTGTAGACAAATACCTTCCAAGTCCATGGACAGTATCCATCATGAAAAGGACTGGAAGGAAAATTAGTCTCTGCAGCTAAAGAATATATGCCATTCTAAGCATAAGCTTCCCAATGTCAGTTTTATTTAAAAAATGACTTTTGTACTGGTTTTACTAAATTCTCTGTAGAATATTTTAAAATAATGAAGAAATAAGACAAATCTGAGAAGCAATTCTCACCTTTAAAATTTATTACAGAAACTATAAATACAAAATGAAATTCTAGTTATAAAAGATGCATCTGGAATAAGTTATAATAAACCTCAATAAAAATGAGCATAGATGTGTATGTGTGACACACACTTAAATGTTTTCAGTAACTGCCACTGCTTTATATATTACGTAATACAGTAACTACTACTTAAGTATCTGAAATTACTGGTTTTAAGGCTTTACAATATCCAGATAAATCAACAATCAAAGGCAGCTCAATTCTGAAATTGTTCAAGAATTGAGAATCTCTTCTATGATCACTATCTTCTCTTCCAACAAAAGCCATTTTATAAAGTTCTAATATCAGAATTCCTCCTAAAAGATGAATGGTGGTGAATGGTTTAATTTCTTTAGGAGGGAAAAGTATTTTTTGTACCATTAATATAAAATTTATTATTTTATATAATTATGTATAAAAGGTATTTCTACAATAGAAGCAAAACACAAATTTAGGATATAGCTTTCAAATATAAAACCTTTTTTCTATTAAAAAGCTGCTTAACAAAGTAGTTATTAACACATCTGTTGTACATATAATCTTAAAATAAACCAAAAAATATTAAAATCTATTAACCCAAATTAGAATTATAAAAATGTTTATTTAAAAAGCATTAATTTTGAGTAACGAGAGTACAGCCAGAACTTGTCCAACACGGCCCTGAAAATCATGACCTGAACACTGTGGATGGAGAAGGGAAGCAGAAAGGAAGCAGGAAATGGCCATTAAAGAAAATAAAGATAATAAAAGAATGGCAAAACACAAGTGATGTTTCTAGTTTTATACAATAAACTTTTTAGGAAGGATAAAATTAAAAGTGCTTAAACCAAAACATGTCAATGTCACCCATTACTTGTTGACATTAGTTATCATTAGTTGTCAAAAAACATTAGTTATCAAAATAATTTTATTAAGAGGAGGCCACACTTCAACTGACAAGCCAAAGCATTACTCACATCATAGTGCCTTGTTCAACTTCAATATTTATCATTTTTTTTATCTTACACATGTACATAAATACTAAGGAATTTTAAATATTGTTATTTACTCTTTTTCTTAAAAATGCAGAATTTCACTTTCAGTTATGCAGGCATGAGAAAGGTGAAGCAATAGGAACTGGAATACAAAAAATATTCCATACCATGATGTCATGATCTGGAACAACTGAAATTTTCAACCTCTTGTTCCATTTTCTAAATAAAGGATAAGAAAGAAAAACAGTGAGTTCAAAAATAGAAAAAGCTAAAGAGATAGTAGTCATTTGCTCCCCCTGCCAGTAAACAACTTTAAAGATATTATTACACATGCACATATACCTAAGAGTGTCATCAATAAGAATTCACTAATTAAATTCCATTGAAATGAGATTGAGCCATGTTCATGTTATGTTAAATTGAAATTGTTATAATCAAGGCACTGATGTACTTATAAATACTAGTATTTTATATTTCACCAGTACTAGTATTACATATACATTACATGATGTGGGTACCACAGTATGCTTTAGTCTAAGGTATATTAAATACTATGCATCTTGTATAAATTAGAAGCTATCTGTACTACAGTATGTACACTCATATATACCCTATACGGATATCATCCAATATTTACTTTTAGAAATTAGTTTTCTTAGATCTATTATAAAAGAAAGTAAAGATGAATAGGTAAAAAGGAGCCACATAACTTCAATAATATATAAAACATTTTTCAGTTTACTGATAATTTCACTTTTAATAAAAGAAACAAATTAATGATGTACTAAGATTAGAACATACAGAACTCATTGTATCTAAAAATCCATAAACTACAATTACAGTTAATTTCTTATATAGACTGGTTACCTGAATAAGTGATGTTTTGTCATAGTCCCTGCGATGCTGGTAAATGCACTGACTGATCACTGCATACAAATTTTCCAACTGAAAAATATTATAGTCTTGACTTTTTTTAATAACTGTCTTCAAAAGATTCTGAAAGAAAACATATTTACAACATGTGTGAGATAATTTCCCAGACACAAGTTATTTTTATTTGAAGATTTGGGTAATTTTTATTATTTAAGTCCCTGGGAGGGCACACCAAATTCAGAGCCTACACACCTTCTAGTGGTTCTCTGACAAGTAGCTATATTTGACTTTATCATCATCCTATGATCCTGGCCTCTGCCATAGGGATCTCTACTCTAAAATCTTTAGCTAAGGAAATGGCCATTTTCAATTCTAGCCATGTACATCTCCAAATTGAAAAATAATCTCAAATGAGGTTAATAGGAAAAGCAATGCATGCACAATTTCATGGCACTATAAATATTCTAATAAATTTCATTATGTGGAAAAAAAAGGTACAATCATAAATGAAATACTTCACCATTGCAGTGTTTTTTCCTACTGCAACTGTCAATGGATTTCTGTGATTCTTAAAGTCTAGTTCTACCATGATATGCCATTACTTTAATTAACAAAACATGTCCGTTCTGGTTAAGTAAAAACTAATGAAAAATGTCATAGTAAAAAATAATTAAAATGGTCATAGGTAATGGCCATAAAAAGAGGATCAATGATGTAGACAAGTACGTTAAAAACTGTAATATCAACTCGCTAGCCACTCCCAACCATCCAACCTCTGAGTTATTTTGGACTCCATTTCTTCTTTCATAGAAGATCATTATTTATTACATACCAAATTGACACATTACACAATCACAATCCCCTTACAGGTCATGCTACTAATCCGTACAATGAAAGCATTAAGTTCATTACATACTTTTAACCGCTCATGGTCCACAACAAGTGAGGGTGTAGGCTGAGAAAGAATTGCCAGAGCCTTCTCAACACTGATGAGCTGCTGTTGCTCTACTTGGGATCGTCTAGCTCGAGTCATTCGCAGAACACACATTTCTAGAATGAAAAATTACTATGATTTGGTCTACAGATATTATAACTTCTAGCGTAAATACTTGGTCAAAAAACAGGGCACAAAAATCATTTCTGGCTTATTGATACTCTGCTGTAATATTAAGATGCTGCCACTTACACATTCAAAAAAACTGAGGACATTTGATAAGTATCTCTCAAAAAAATGACTTATTTCAGGGAATCTGTCTCCTACCAAAGCACGAGACCCAGAATTTAAGAGCTGGAAAAATGAGTTATCTAGAATAGAAGTGCCAACTACCACTCAGAGGCCACATCTAGCCTGCTGCTATTAAGTACAGGTTTATTAGAACACACTCATACCCACTTTACATATGCATGTCAATGTGGCTTTTTGAACAGAATGTTGTGATAGAGAACCTGTGGCTAAATATTTTCTAACTGGTCCTTTACCCAAAAAGTTTACTAATTTATGACCTATAACAATCTTTACAAGAAGATGACAAAAATGAAGTAAGGAGGGCTGAAAAAACTTTTTATTTCCCTAAAGATTTCTTTATTTATGCATACAAGAACTGGGGTACAGGCCAGTTCAGGTGCAGGAAGTGAGAGGATTCATAGATAGAGTGGGGAGCAGAATGCATGTCAGGAGAGGTCTCCTGCACCATGTGGGTAACTTCCTGACCAGGGATCGAACTTGTGCTGCAGTGGCTGGGCTTTAACCCACTGCATGAAGGCCTGAAGAAACTTTTCTAAGGTCAATATACGTAACTGTTATAAGAAATAGGGTAAGTACCCAATATTTAAACAAGTACCTGTCCCACTAAATAGCATCTGTTCAAAAAAAATAATGACCAAACAAACAAAAACAGCAACAACTTTGAATCCAAAAAAACATACTAACGGAGGATTAACATATATCCACACTGGGAAGGTGATGTCAGCCATTCTATTATGATTACTCAAACACATTTCATGATGTCCCTGAAAATTATTTACTGACAGTGTATAAACCACTGAAAAACCCAATCTGATGAACTCAATACTTGTTCTTGACAACATATACCTTGCACCCTGTTACTCCTTTTTAAATTTTTCTAGGACTAAAAAGTATTTGCATTTTCCAAACACCAAACATATCTACTGCAGAGGTACAAGATCCAGACAGAAGACAATTCCAAATGAAAAATTGGGGGAGTAGAATCACTAAATATAAATAATCTTGGATCTATTCTAAAATAGGGATAGATGAGTGGTGGAGGTGAGTTAATACTTACTCTACATTACTGAGCAAGAATCACAGGAAGCTGCTTATTGTGCTTAAAAAAATCAGGTAGCACCCTGGCAGATTTTAAAAATTGCATGGCTAAGCACCATGATACGTGCTTTATAGATATTTTATCCAAGCCTCAAAATACTTCATTACTTTATGACTATATCCCTCAAGTTTGCAGGTGACACAACTAATGCCGACAGGTCAAATACCTTTGGACAGGTGACAAACTAGTAAGTAGTGAAGCAGGGACTCAATTTCAGGTATGCTGATGCTGAAACATGCTTTAAATAACAGTGACTTACTAGCCTAACCACTATTACTGTTTTATTAATTAACAAATACTTGCACTCTGAAAGAAAAGGAAAAGGAATAATGGAGATGACAGTTATGTAAGAACTTTAAGTGAAATTTAATTAAAACTTACCTTTTGTTTCATTTTCATCAGAAATATCTACTATGTGAGAGCTAGACGTATCTCCATTGCAAGCAATTTTATCTTTCCTCGATTCTGGATATACTACAGTCTTCCTTGATTCTTCAAGTTCATTCTCAATACTACAAGTATTATTTCCCAATTCTGTTTTGCTTTCAGAAGCATTTTGCTGCTTCTCACTTTCTTCCATTGAAGATTCTCCTGTGTTTCCCGTCTCATTGTGATCTACACTTGTATCTTGATTTTCCTCTGTATCACTCTCAATTTTGTCATCCACAACATTTTGGCCATCATCTTTTGCTTGAGAAATCCTCCTTCGTTTTGTTATATTGCCTAAATGCCACTTCGACTTTTTGCGGATTTTTCTCTTCAACTGAGCTTCAAAGAATTCAAGAAAAACGACAGAATGTTCAACAATTTTCTAAAATCCAAGTGGAGGGTTGGGGGAACAGAAAAATTTCTTCTGAGATAGAAGAGAATAGAATTTGAGATTTTACTTATGTATGGTTGACTATATAAAAAAGTGGAATACTATAAAAAGAAGGTAGAGGTGGAAATAAATGACCTATCAGTCTACAGACTTTGGATTTTATCTTTAATATATATTTTTTGTAAGCACTGAATCATTTTAAGGAAGGTAATGACATGATCTGCTTGAGGTCTGTATTACAAAGTTCATATTGGCAGTACTATAAGGAATGAACTGGAGAAGGGGAGTTACATCCTAAGAATAAGGACAAATGGAAAGAGTATTTACAGGAAATGAAAATCAGTTTTAAATGAAGTCACTGCACAAAGAGATGAAGAAGGTATTTTGCACAAATAGAAGTGGGTTTTTTTAAGAATGCAATGTTTCCTTAACTTTAACAAAATAATATTAATAAAGGAAAATAAAGGAGAAAGTAAATGGGACTAGAAAAGAAAAAAATTCACGTAAAAAGTACCCAACACTTGCAGTACTTACCTGGAGTACTGCAAGCCACAGGAGTACTGGGTGCCTTTAGCTTCTCATTCTGCTCTGGATCTGATCTTTTATCAACAGGAATGGAATTTTGCTTTGGCATCACATGGTAGTAAGATGGGGCATATTTGGAAGAACTACAACCTTGTAAATAGAAATATGGGCTATCATATTAATTTTCCAGATTTTAAAATTACATGAAGGATTAATTTAAAAGAATCTATATACTACATCTGAAACATTTATTGTAATACCAAATCAGTTTTCTACCTCTTTTTTTTCTAGATTCCTGAATTTCTTCACAAAGTTGCTCAAAGTCTTCATCAAGTTCTTCCTTAATTATTGCATAGGCAGTATCTCTTAAAGCACAGGCTCTATGTCTAATAAGACGATCTGAGAAATGAATAAAGAAATTTTTGTTACTAAAATAAATTCAACATGTTGGGTTAAGATTGCAGCCAGGGAGGTGACCCACATGATGTGGCAGACCTCTCCTGGCCTCCTGCTGTTCCCCCCAGCAGTTTGTTTCAGTAGATTGCCTGTTCTGCTCTCTGCTCTTGTCTCTAGGAAACCCTCCTACCCCTTCACACTCTGGCCTGCACCCCAGTTCTTATATGTATAAATAAATAAATCTTAAAAAAAAAAAAGAAGGCAAGGAAGGTGATCAGTGTCATCTGTGAACCAGGAATATTTTGGATACAACAGGTGATATATATGACAGAGAAAGTAAACAGAGACAATGGCACAGCAAACTCTGGCAGGAAAAAAATCCCAAATTCAGAGTTCAAGCACTGTTAACTGAAATATACTTTGAGAGAGAAAGCAGACTAACAAGTGAATGTCAGCTTGCCTGAATGGCTACGTGCCTGAATGGCTACCTCAGTCCCCCAACAGGGCAGTAGGTTGCAATATTTATACTCAGTTCTATTTGGGATTGAGGTTGCAGGGGCTTCTAACATGACATTTGGAACAAAGGAAAGACAAGCCAGTATCCGAGCAGCGGTTCCCAGTTTTGTGATAATATCAATTCACCTGGGAATTTATTAGAAACTATGAAGATGGAGCTCTGCAATCTGTATATTAATAAGTTTGTTTAGAGCGTCTGATAGCCGTTCAAGTTTAGTCCATGGCATATTTAGATGTTCACAATGAAAAGAAAAGCAGTAGCACAAGCATGAGTGCAATGAGGTAAAAGCTTCCTTCTTTCCAACTTAGTGCACTATTTCCCATGGCATACCACCAGAACTCTGAACTAAAGGGGAAAATTAAGGGATGGTAGATAACAGATCAAAGAAGAATAATGAGTTTATTAAAACAACAACAACAAAAAACCCCTAAAAAACCACAACTCTCAGTAGGTCCCTACATAAATCATCTAATTTATGAGCACTAACAATTTTAAAACAGAAAGTCAAATTAACATAACATGCACTATTAAAAAAGAAATTACCCACTTAGAAAACAAATTCGGAGTAGAGACAGGGAACTACATAATATTGTTTTTAAGCTTTATAGCTTGAATACTTTATGTGGACACTACATTCATAAAACAAGAATAGGAAGCTAAGAAAAAGGACCTAAAAAAGAACATTTTGGGGAAATGAACAACTTTGGAGCATGTATATCAACACTTGACTATTATCATTATGTGTATAGAGAAATCATTAGAATATTCCTTATTTTATGTATCATTAAGATGGATATATGTATAGTGAAGAACTAGAAAGATTAAAAAAAAAAAAATCTGGAAAGATATCCCAAAATTTAAGGGTCCTCCTTTGAAGAAAGGAAATGGGATTTAATTTTCAAATGCTACTTGCAAGAATACTTTATTTTATTTTATTTTTTTTTAGATTTATTTATTTATTCATACAGAACTGGGGTACAAGCCAGAGGCTCAGGGGCGGTGAGAGGCTTCACCAGAGACAGAGTGGGGAGCAGAACAGGCAGACTGACGAAGTACACTGCTGAGGGGAGCAGCGGGCGGGCCAGGAGAGGTCTGGCTCGCCATGTGGTCTCCTCCGGGGCAGGCGGCAGGCGGGAATCGAACTCATGCGGAAGTGGCTTCAGATTCTCAGTGCTGCGCTTTAACCCGCTGCGCCACCAGGGAGGGCCGCAAGAATACTTTAATTAAAATTGTTATTATCTAAAACTAAGAGCTTTTTCAGACCTACTTTAATATAGCTAACTTGGGAAAGAACACTAAAATACAAAGGAAGCAGCTAAAGTTGGCATGCAGTTTTGTGTCTCAGGGGATTTATAAGGTGACTGTTTTTTATAAATGCAAGGGTTTTAAAGTAGGAGAAACCTGTACTCAAAATTTCTTTCACTTCCTATCAGTATGACCTTAAGTTTTAAAACCTATATTTCATTTTCCTGTAAGATTATTGTGAATAAATGGTACTACGCCTACAAAAATGTTTACAATACAGCACCTGGGGTAAAATCAACTCTCATCAAGTGTTAGGGGTCCCCATTTCACACCCCTGGAAACAAACCCGCTTATGCTTACCTCCAGGATCTCTATCCGGATTGTATTCCAAGGCATTACTACAGATTAGATCAATATCACTCAAATAGTCTTTTACAGTCAGGTATTTGTGGAGATCAATTTTACTGATTACAGATGAGAGGTCCATTGGTTGCTTTATTACAGTGACATAATCAGGAACCTAAAATGCAAACAAAAGACCAAGTCAGTAAATTTAACTTTGAACATAAACATTTAACTACAATTCCTGTGCCAGGTAATACAGGGTTCAGAGAATAAATACTTAAGAGATGATGATAAAATGAGCACAAAGCTTCTGACCATTTGAAGCTGACTGTTTTGAATTTATTCTATTTTTGGGCATCCATATCCCCCAATAACATCCGATAGCTCTTTCCTCATCCAAACGTCACCCACTCCTCTCTTCAAAGTCAATTTCAAAACCTCACTCTCCAATTATGCTAGCCAAGTCTATCACAAAATGACACATAGCATTAAGACATTCTCAAATTGCCCTCAGAATCTTTGGGCTGGACAGGAAATGTTTTCTCTCCAGGGAAAAGGCTCCTGAAGTCTCTACTGCTTAGGACACTACTTAGTTTGCATACAGAGAAAACAAATGCAGAGTAAAGGGAACTACATACACTTCAAATATTCTGACTTTTTGAAGAATTATAGCTTGAACACATTTCATAAAAATATTAAATACCTCATCAAGATCAACAGGTTTAGTAAATACTCTGAATCGCTTATCAATAGCAAGTCTATGTGTAACATTTCTTAAGAAAATTCTCAGTTCTCTAAAGGTATCTTCTTCTTGTTCTTCTAGTCGTTTCACTTCTTCTGCTGTCATTGGTCTTGGCTCAGGTGGTGGTGCTACTGGGAGTACCTCTAAGGCCTGCAAAACTTCACATGAATGGAAGATTTTAGTTACAACTCTCATAACATCAAGGGCGAGAAATGATTCAGCCCATAGAGTCAGTTATCAGGCTTTTAGCCTCCTTACATCTGCCAGGAATTGAAAGATTTTGCAATTATAAAGTGTTACTATAATTTCTAGTCCTACGTCTCCCTTTTGGAATAATTGGTAACTTGTAATTTGGAGTGCAAATTCCTAATTATCTCTGTTCTGTTTTAAGAACTTTGAAATGCATTATTTCTAGTACAAGCATATTCACAAGCATATTCCAACTATTAAATCTTTTTTAGTTAATATTTAAACTAATGGACATGCATTGAATTTAACAAAAGTTTGATTATGTTTAAACAGATATGCAGGACCTCCCTCGTGTTGTAGAGCTTAAAGTCTCAGTGCTATCAAGCTATCACCAGCCACCATGGCATGAGTTTGATTCCCAGCCAGGAAGCTCACCTACATGGCACAGCAGACCTCTCCCATCTCACCTATGGTTCTCCTTAGCAGTACATTTTAGTAGATCAGTCTGTTCTGCTTGTACTCATGATAAATTTTAAAATAGGAATATGAGTGACACCCTAATAAGTTGTTAATCTACTAAATGAATAAAAGACATATCAAAACATCAGTGTAATATGTTACTAGCATGAAGAAGTACAATGGATTATAAAAGTAGAAAACGAATTTAGAAAAATGGATTGGGGCTTACTTTGTATTTGGCCCAAGATTCACATAGACAAGGGCCTATAGTGTGAAATACCTGTATACTTAAATCACTTTAGTCAATTCTAATGGGATGTGCAGATTTTTTTTTTTTAAGATTCACCAGAGACAAAGTGAGGAACAGAACAAGAGCATTAAAGGGAACAGTGGGTGAGAAAGGAGAGGCCTGCTGCACTGTATATGGGTTAGTTCCCTAACGGGGAGCAAACCCAAGCTGTAGTGGTGATAGTGTTGAGACTTAGCCAGTAGGCCACCAGGGAGACCCTGAGATTTTTAACCAATAAAGGTAACTTCATGAAAGGTTTTGGGTTTGTGTTAACTGATAGGTGGTAATGTCATTAATGGATATTTTATTCCTATCTTCTCAAAATTATTATATACTAACCAATATATAAACTAACCTGCTTTCTTTTTTGATATAGGAGGCTTAGCAGCTTGCTTTATAATTAAATCTTCAAAGAATTTTGTTCGTTCTTCTTTACCAGGTAACTGGACATTAAAAATTTCTCCATAATCATGAATAAATAATTCTTGTACCTTAAAAAAGAAAATTTATGCATCACATATATGTATAAATATATATATGCGCCTCTGAAATTGCTGACTATCCACAGATACTTTTCTCTCCATCAATATCCCAGTGACTACGGAAGAAGCTAAGCTGTACTAGAAATATACCTGTTATTTGTCTTCAAGATAAACGGGCTCCCCACTTCTGATATCAGTTGCCATAGAGAAACCACTTCTTTTCCACACTATCTTGAAGGCCACCCCTCAGAGCTCTAACCAAGGACATATAACTTTACTGCCTGGGATATTCAGAAGAAAGCCAATTACCCCAAAGTTGTGTAAGAGCCCTTTTAATTCCTTCTTAATGATCTAGAGCTAGAAAATACTCCTACCTTTCAAAGGATTTTTTCATGCTTTGAACTGTGATTACCCTCTCAATGTAACCCTCAGTGCTTTGTCATTCATGGATTCATGAAAGCTCTAATTCATTGTTGACATTATTTCTCCTTTTTCTATACTGATCTGAATTACTAAAGCCCACCAGGGCTCACATCTATGGACACTTTCCATTTTCTCACTAATTTGAGGTGGGCAAACTTTATGTAACTACCATCAGCATACAGTTATTTCTGATATATTTAACTTGTATGATGTTACATACAGACATTATCACTGAATCACTGAAACCTATATAAGGTTTAAAGTAGACTAGTAAGCCTCAGTGTAGACTATTCTATTTGCATCCATGTAGCCTATTCATTTTTTAAAATAAATAATTCCTGGTTCTATGCCATTCTACCCTTCTATGCAGAGTGCTACTTGGTCACTTTATAGTTTAAAATTATATGCTTAGAAAATATCCTAAGAAAAGAGAGAAGCTGTACTTTAAGATCTCTTAAGTACAAAATTCCCATATTCTTCTTTTTTTAAGATTTATTTATATATGCATACAAGAACTGGGTCAGAAGTGGAGGGGTGGAGGAGGTGCTGTGTGTGTGAGAGGATTCACCAGAGACAGAGTGGTGAGCAGAACAGGCAGATCACTGAAATACACTGCTGAGGGGAGCAGCAGGTAAGACAGAAGAAAGAGGACTGCTGCACCATGTGGGTCAGCTCCCTGGCCAGTTGGGATTAAACTAGTGCTGCAGTGGCTGCAGATAGCTTGACAGGGCTGTCTTTAACCTCTGCACCACCAGAAAGGCCCTCAATTCCCACATTCTTACAAGTTACAGTTTTTAAACCTATGTCCACATAAAGAAAATTCAAGTAGTTTGTCTTAACTGCTCTAAATTACCACTGAAAGTATAATTTATACTTTGAATTATATTTTTGAAGTGAATCTTTTCACTTCAAAATTCATGTAATTAACAAAGTTTTCACTGACAGTAAGAATAAGCCAGGGATATAAAGTAGCTACGAAACAGCAATTCTTTACTTTGTGTTAACTAGAATACTTAATTCATCCTAGGGACAGTATTTCAAAAATATGCAGAAAGACATCGAGTATGGTGACATTGAAGAAACCAAAAAAAAAAAAAAAAGTATGTTGTGTGGCAGAGCCTGCTATTATTATAATCCATGTTTTCTTCTTTTTTGGCATATTGCTGTATCCTATTTCCTTTCTACCCTTACATTTAAAGTATGGTTATGTGACCAAGTTTTGGCCAATGTAACATGAGACAAAATGATACACATCACTGTCAGATTAGGACAATGAATGGGATACTCCTTTCAGTAAGATATAATGGAAGCAATTGTCCATACATGCAAAGAGCTGTTACTACAAAAACAGATTAAACAGGTTCTACACAACACCTAGGAAACAAATGGAAATGAAGAAATGGAAGCTTCTCAAAATAAGATGGATAGTTTAGCAGGAGTCAGAGCTAACAAAAATGAATGAAGAATGTGTTTCAAAAAAGGTGGGGGTAGAGACTATACACAGCCCAGAGTGGGATGATTAAACTAGAAACCTCTAAGGATCTGTAATTCATAATTTCCCTGCTTATACAAGTCCCAGTTGAGGAATTCACAATCAACTATTAAAACAAAGTCTTCAGTGACACAATCCAGTCCTTCAGTAACTCCTTGACCTCATTTCCTTCTCTGCTGCCCTTCACTGTTCTATTCACCCTGGCTTTCTGGTGCTGTTTCCCAACACACCCAAATGCACTTTTGCTTCAGTCTGTATACTCGCTTTTCCTCTGCCAGGAATCTGTTGCTCAGATACTCAATTGGGTCACTATCTTACCTTTTTACAAATGTCAATTTCTTCATGCAGCCTCACCTCGCCTATTTAAACACTGACCTGACGACACTCGTTTGGCACTGCCTTGCAATATTCTTCTCCATGTCATTAGGTTAGTGTTATAAAATTTACTTAGTTTTCTTGTCTTCCCCTTAGCTAAAACATTAAGTGATAGGATACAAATTTTATCTGTATTGTCACTGCTCTATAATCAGTGCCGATAACCAAGCCTGTCATGGAATAAGCATTCAAATAGCTTTTTAATAATATATTTGAATTTAGCTTTCTACTGTTCCACAACTGCAAACCTATTTTGTGACACGGATGAAAAACATTAAAATTCAGTTAAGGAAAACACTCAATCCTACAGTATGCTTATTATGTTTTCTGGGGTTAGAGTCAGGGAGAGGAAAACCTCTGAATTTATGGACTTCACATTCTGTTAGGGAGACAGTGCAACAAATTAATATCTGATAACAGGTAGGAATATAACTGAATAAGAGTAAGGGGAAAAAGTTATGTATGCAGGAGGCATTGCAATAACTGAGAAACTGATCTGGGCAGAGATCTCAGAAGACAAAGAAAGGCTCATGCCACATGAATATTTAGAAGAGTATTCTAGGGAGAATAACGAAAACTTGTTCTCTGATGGTCATTTTCAAAATTGGCAAATCTGAAGAACAGTAATTCTTTTTCTGTTCGAAAAATTTAAATGGGCACACACTTTATTTAACTTTGAAAAACAGACATTGCCCTGGTGGTGCTACAGGCTAAAGCATTACACCATGGCACTACCCACAGCCACTACAGCACGAGTTCAATGCCCAGCCAAGGAGCTGACTCTCATGGTGCAGCAGATCTTTCCTGACCTGCCCACTGCTCCCCTCAGCAGTGCTCCCCTCAGTACATCTGCCAGTTCTGCTCCCCATTCTGTCTCTGGTGAATCCTCTCACCACCCCCCCCCCATACCTCTGGTTGTACCCAGTTCTTGTATGCATAAATAAATCTTTACAAAAGAAAACAGACATTAGAAAACACCCACCTAGTAATGCAAATACAAATCATATCCCTAGAATGCTTGTTGATGTGGTTTAATAGAAACAAAAACAAAAAAATGAACCACAACCAAAATATCTAGGGACAAATATACACTAAAAAAACAAACAAACAAACAAAAACACAATAAATCATACCAATGCAAAAAAAAAATTCATGCTGCTCTTGAGATTTATATACTAGAAAACATATACCACTTTGTTAGATAAAAAGTGTTGTACTACTCTGCACATACACACACCATCCTGCCCAACAAACACTTCTATTATTTTATATGAATAACTTTTTATATATAATTTTTCTCTCACAAATTACCTCTTCTGGCAGAATAGAATGGGGTTTGTCCGAAGTTGCAAGTAGTAAAACTGGAGCAAATGAAGGAATATTCTGTAACAATGTGGTAAAAGTGGCTTTCAGTGTGGGTCCAACTATTTCCCACCACAAGTGAATATGAGGAACATATACTATACTTGGTGCTGTTCTCTTGGCTTCACGAATCATCTAATAGAGAGGAAAAAAAAAAATTAATTTCAGTTATTGAGTCAGCACATTAATGATGCCAATTTAATTTATATAGCAATTATGTTTAACTTCAGATATCATATAAAATGCTTGTTTTTTTTCCCAATTTCTCTAATCTTTCTTTAAAATTGCCTGACCTTTTTTTTTTAGTGTTTGCTTTCTTTTCTCAGGTAGAGCCCATAGACCTCCTACCATCCATTCACCCCGCGCTTATCACCACAGTCCCTTGTGCTCCTCGCCCCTTCTCGGTCCCTGTCCTTGCTCCTTTCCTTCCTCCTTCCCTTCAGAATGTCTCTGACTTATAGCTGCCTGCTTATTTTGTTTTGTTGTGGTTTTTTTAAAAATTGTTATTATTTTTCCCCCGATCCTTTATTTGGTCTCCCTATGTTCCTCCTATAAGTTAAACCAGCTGATATTTCTATTTTGCCTTCTGACTTATTTCACTGAGGATTATCCCTTGTAGTTCCATTCATGTTGCTGCTAATGGCAAAAAAAAATTCTTTAAAATGCTTCCCCCAGTTCCACAATCTTGTGCTTGTATAAGTCACATTTTTAGAACATAATTGCTTCAAGCAATTAGAAGACAGATCAAGAAACTTAACTCTGTTATAGCAACCACAGTTATAACAATTTTACATTAAAAATAAGTTAAATATAAATTCAGAAAAAACAGAAATAGGATACCTGAGTACTTACTATATATTGCAGTCACTTAAAAAAAAAAAAATTACTCATTTATACATACAGAGCTGGGGTACAGGCCATAGGTGCAGGGGGGTGAGAGGTTTCACCAGAGAGAGTGAGGGCAGAACAGGCAGACCTGCCCTCACTGCTGAGGGGAGCGGCAGGCAGGTCAGAACAGGCAGACCTGCCCTCACTGCTGAGGGGAGCGGCAGGCAGGTCAGAAGAGGCCTGCTATATGCCATGTGGGTCACCTCCCTGGCTAGCATTCGAACTTGTGCTGCAGTGGCTGCAATAGCATAATAGTGCTGTACTTTAACCTGCTGTGCCACCAGGGAGGGTCCCACAGTCACTGTTTAAGTACTTTATGAATTTAATTCTCACAACTGCAATAAAGGATAAATGCTATTATCTTGATTTTGCAAATGGGGAAAGTGAGGCAAAGAGATCTAAATAACTTTCTTCCTAGGGTCACACAGATACAAAATATTGGAAACAGGATTTATACCTACCCCTTTTATTGACAACACAATTATTTGTGTTGCAAATTCTATTTGTTGCACAGTTCTATTTCATAAATATGAAGTCAGAAGAAAGATAAAGCAACCCATAGTAGAGAGAGAATGAGGCAATTCTGTATTTTGTCTCCAGAAGGCTGTTTTGTCTTATAGCTTGTCTGAATAATGAATTACCTGAGCACATGTTTCTTCTGGAGATGTAGCACTGACTCCAAAAAGAACAGGAATGTCTAATGTATACACTGCAAATTTTTCCAAAGCATGAATGACTGCGGGTGCCAAATGAGAACTTTGCCCAAATCCTGGTTCTCCTACAATCAGGATTCTTGGTCGAAAAGACATAGGTTGATAACAAGCATTTCTGAAAGAAACAAATAAGTTGTGTTTTACAGAAAGCGGATAAGTAAATTTTCATCCAAATTATAATTATGGACATTGACTATATGACCAGAGTTACAACAGCATCGTTCACATGGTTTTTGGAAACGTCCAGTACCCCCTACCCCTGCTTTAATTTAATCTGTATCATTTTTAATGAGATAACATTAGTTTACAACAATGCTGTACATGATGCAGAGGCATAGGGATTACACCTTGCCAGATGCATGCCGCCAGAGCACACCACCAGAGCATCCCTAGTCCTCCACCATAGTACACTGCACCTCTGCCCCATTTTGGTGCCCCCCCCCCCCTTGTAGCTCAACTCTACAGTCAGATTTTTTGGTTATTGGTTTAATTTTGTTTCAGCTTTTGGTTTCCTATATTCCACATATAAGTGAAATCATCCTCTCTTCTTTCTCCTTCTGATTTATTTCACATTATCCTCTCCAATTTTGACCACGGCATCATGAATGCCAAGAGTTCTACATTTTAAACAGCTGAGTAGTATCCCATTGTGCATCCATATTATACTTTTCTAATCCACTCCTCCATCATTTGGCATTTAGGCTGTTTCCATAACTTAGCAACTATAAATATGGCTGCAATGAAAACAGGGATGCACATATCCCTTCAACTTAGTGTTTTTGCATTCTGTGGGTAGATACCTAGGAGTGGAATTGCTACATCATAAAGCAGGACTATCTTTATTATTTGGAGAAACCTCCATGCTCTTTTCCCTAGGGCTTGGACCAGTCTGTATTCCCACCAAGTGTATGAGGGTGCATTTTGCTCCACATTCTACACTTGCTCTACACTTCTGTCTGGTCTTTTTGATGTATGCCATTCTCACAAGGGTGAGACATTACCTCACTGTAATTTTGATCTGTATTTTTCTGATGATAAATAATGAACATGTTTTCATGTGCCTGTTGGCCATCTGTATGCCTTCTTTGTATAGGTGTCTCTTTTGCTTTTCTACCCATTTTTGGACAGGATTCTTTTTGTTGAGTTGGATGTGCTCTTTGTAGATAATGGATAATAGCCCCTTTTTGGACGTATGGTATGAAAAGATTTTCTCCCAGGTGCTTATCTTTTCATTTTACTGATAGTTTCTTTCATCACAGAGAAACTTTTTAGTTTAATGTAGTCCCATATGACATTAATTATTTTTGTTTCTCTTACCTTAGGAGACAAATTCTCAAAGGTATCACTAAAACCAGTGTTGTGGAATGTTTTCTTCAATGTATTTTTGATGGAGCCTTACAAATCATATTTAAACCCATTTTGAGTTAAGTTTCACATATGGTATGAAGCAATGATCTAGGTTCTTTTGCAAGTTGCTATCCAGTTTTTCCAACACCATTTGTTGAAGATACTCTCTTTTCTCCAATGTCTATCCTTGGCACCAAGGATAATGTCTCCATAGATGTGGGCTTATTTCTGGGCCCTCTTCTATTGGTTTGTGTTGTCTACTTTTATTCCAGTACCACACCGTTTTGATTACTTCACTGTACAGTGTAGTTTGAGGGATAGAAATATAATATCGACATTCTTCCTCTTACTTTCAGGAATATTTTGGCTGTTTGGGGTTTTTTTTTTGGTGATTTCCCTATGAATTTCAGTAATGCTTGTTCTATTTCTTTGAAGAATATCATTGGAGCCTTGATAGGAATGGTGATGAATTCATATATTGCTTAGGTAAGGTGGTCATTTTAACAGTTTATTCTTCCGAACCATAGGCTGGGAATTTTTCGCAGCTACTTCTCTGTGCCTGCTTTTATTTCTTTTAGCAATGTCCTGTTTTGACAGTACAGGTCCTTCACCTCCTTTGTTAGGTTTACTTCCAAGTATTTAATTCTTTTTATTGCATTGTGAGTGACTGTTTTGAATTTCTCTTCTAGCTTACTGATTGCATACAGAAACGTACCTCATTTTTGTGTAGTAAACGGATTTTGTACTGTCACTTTATTGTTACTTTTTCAATTAGCATTTTAGTGCTGTCTTTAGGGTTTTCTGTTTATATTATCATGTCATCTGCAAACAGTGGTACTTCTTTCCCAACATGGAGTCCTCTTTTCTTTCTCCTGCCTTGATGCTTTAGCTAGGACTTCAAATGGTATGTTGAATAGTAATGGTAAGCATGGACATTCTACCCTTATACCAGGACCCTAGAGGAAAATATCTGTCTTTCACCATAAAGTATGATTTTGGCTCTGGGCTTTTATTATGTTGAAACCTCCATAAATTTTTAGGAATATTTTATAGAGTGTAATTTTTTACTATAATACAATCATAATTTTAATGACCAAAATAATTGATATTTTAGGAAAAAACATCAGATGTAGAAAGAAAAAAGGAACAGATTAGTTGGCACTTTTATCTATTCAGCCGCCATCTCCTTTACTTTCAGGAATTTTAACATACATACGTATATATGAATATACAGATATTCATACGCGAGGGAAACGTACCTATTTAAATGGAGAAAATTAAAATTTTCTTTTGCCTTATTAAAGGATTTTTGAGACAGCCCATTTTCATACACTGATGGAACATCATCATCACTGTATGCCAAATCACTTTCTAGCAGAGGACAAGAAATATCTATGAAACAAACGAAAAAGTAGCACATTAGTTTACTTTTCTGGATTGCAAAGCAAATCTTTATGATTCAGTCAGCAATTAACAAATTTCAATAAAAAAATTAAAAATAAAAACATTTGTATAGATATAAGTAATAAGCAAATATAAAAATGCAACCCAAACTTGGGTTAAGAGCATTCTGTTAAATGCCAAGGCAAAGCACAGCCAAATTTCTTTCAAGACACTTTAATAAAGAGACATTTCTCGAATTATAAAACCTTTAGCTTTCACTGATTATGAAGACTAATAAATCATCAGTTAAGTTTCATACCTGATTCTAATGCTTTCCTTGTACTGATTTCTGCATGTGGAAATACTTTCTGCAGGGCTTCTAAGATCTTGTGAACAGTACTTTGCAGCAGGGGTTTCACAATGGTGGACAGTGCCTGCCCAGGGGGTGTCACAGCTCTTTGGGAGGCTGGTGTCATCTTTTGCATAGCTACCTCAAAATCCTTAGCAGAAATACTAATTGAAGAGAGATCCAACTGTAGTTTCTCACTAGTGGTATAGATCTGTGGGTAACGTCGACGTAGAGCACACAGAGCAGCTTCAGAACATATTGATTTAATATCTGCACCACAGTAGCCTATCCAAGGTAATGAGAAAAGATTCTTTTAAGGTACCATATCACCTGATTAGCATGACCATAACGAAAAGAAAATTTTAAATGAGTCTAGCAATATAGTAGTAAAATATCAGGAGTAATAAAGAAAACTTTTCATTTGCCCAGTGAACTTAAAATGATGGTATCAACAAACCAACCATCATTTATGAAACATGCAAGCACAGGTAACACAGAGGTCATGAGCAAGTTTTAGAATTGGACAGTCTAGGTTCAAATTGCAATGTGTCATTTACAGAATGTGTGTTCTTCAGAGAACTATATATGCTCTCTTAGCCATTTATTCATCCATAAAATAGGGATAAGAGTATCTATGTATGTTAGTGTTGTGAGAATTACTTGAAATACAGAGCATGCTTAACAGGAAGATGAAAAGAATATAAACAGTAAAAGGTAGCTAATATTGTCTATTTTGCCCTCAAATTCCCTGATGACCAATTTGTCAAGTACTTTCATTTATATGCAGGACTTTGTGTAAAAAAACATGTCACAAATAAGAGATGAGAAACAAATACAATCTCACATTTCGTTAAATATAACCTTGCAAGCCTATAACTTGTTCCACCTTTGAAATTTATGTAATATTTCTTTTAATTGTTTAAAACAATGTTTACCAACACAGTTTTCTGCTAGTTCTTCTAGAAAGATGTCCAATGGTTTAGGATTCCAATCCCTGGTATGAATCTTTAGAATTTCTTTTCGGGCCTACAAATAAAAACAATCCAATTTTTAGCATCTGTAGTAACAGTCTATTCAGATTAGAACAATTTCAGGGGCCTCCCTGGTGGTGCAAGGGGCTAAGCATAGCAATATAAAGCTATCTGCAGCCACTGCAGCACGAGTTCGATGCTGTGCTCGTGGGCAGGGAGCTGACCTAGTAGGTGAAGCAGAACTCTCCTGTCTCATCTGTTGCTCCCCTCAATAGTGTATTTCAGTACCTCTGCCTGTTCTGCTCCCCATTCTGTCTCTGGTGAGTCCTCTCACACCCCACAAATAACCCTGGTCTATACCACATTTCTAGTATGCATAAACAAACACACACACACACACACAAATAAATAAATGAAAAAAAGATAATTTCAATTTACAATACTGTTAATTATCTAAAATTTTAAAGAAAACCTAACACACAAAGTAACACTAAATAGCAAAAATGAGAAAAGATAAGTCTATGACCAATTAAGCTATTTAAACTAAAGATTTACATTACAGTGCTCAAGTTCTAGTCAGCATAAATGTGAATTAGAGAAATTAAGTAACTTGAACTTTTATTCATCCTGGCACATATTAAGAACTATTTTAGAGAACTAACAATCCTATCCATATTTTCTTGCTTGGTTATCAAATGAGTAAGTGGCTTCAAGGGAACTGCAATCCTTTCTAGGTAAGTGATGTGCTATGTGTACAAAGCGAAGAACTCAGTGACTCCTGGTCACAATAAACTAGAGTAATCTGGGAAAAAGTAATATGTGCCCATACATGTGCCCATGGAAACCATGGCATTGGTTTGTGCCAAATTCTGAAGCAAACTTCCTGTTATGAAGCAAACTTCCTGTAAAGGCTGCAGTAAAGAAAATCCATGTGATACTGTATCCCACAAGGATTTAAATTTATTGAAAAGCTAGTGAATAGGAGTGGATCTATCTATCCTCTTGTTTAAAAAGCACCATCAAAATTTGATGTTAAATCCTTACATCTTTATCAGGTAAACTGAAAAGGAATTCTCTGTCAAAGCGACCAGGCCTTCGAAGAGCAGGATCAATAGAATCCAGTCTGTTGGTAGCACCAATGACCACAATTTCCCCTCTGCTGTCCAGTCCATCCATTAGAGCTAGCAGTGTGGAAACAATAGAACTAAATTTAAAAATAAGAGAACAGATTAATTTATGGACCTTAACTGTATCATTTCTTCTTTTAGTAAGATTTCATACATCAAATATTTGAATAAATTTTCTCAGAACATCTCATAACCACCAATGAATGAAAAATACCTAGAAAATAAGATACTAAATGGCACATGGAGATTAAAAACAGTGAAAAACAAATGGTCTTTAAAAAGCCACAAATAGGGCCCTCCCTGGTGGCGCAGCGGAGTAAAGCACAACACTGAGAATCTAAAGCCACTTCCGCATGAGTTCGATTCCCGCCTGCCCCGGAGGTGACCACATGGCGCGGCAGACCTCTCCTGACCCGCCCGCTGCTCCCCTCAGGAGTGTACTTCGTCAATCTGCCTGTTCTGTTCCCCACTCTGTCTCTGGTGAAGCCTCTCACCGCCCCTGAACCTCTGGTCTTACCCCAGTTCTGTATACACAAATAAATAAATCTTAAAAAAAAAAAAAAAAAAAAAGCCACAAATAATCCTGGCAACCACTTCATTAAGCATAATTTCACAAAACAATGTGAGAGTTCCCAAGTAAGGACAGCAATAAAACTAGTGAGTACATTTCCTTTACCACTTTCTGAGTTGTGTTGACTGCTTTCTAGATGGGGTAATTTAATTTATCCTCTATCTTCCATGTTTCCTGTACACTAAAGAGATCTAAAAGCTTATAGATGACCCTCCCTGGTGGCGCAACAGGTTAAAGAACAGCATTGTGAAGCAGTTCACAGCCACTGCATCTCAAGTTCAATCCCCAGCAAGGGACGAAATCCACGTAGCGTGGCAGACCTCTTCTGATCTGCATGCTGCTCCCCTCAGCAGTGTATCTCAGTCTATCTACCTGTTCTGCTCCTGGCTCTGTCTCTGGTGAATCCTCTCACCCCCACACTTCTGACCTGTATCCGAGTTCTTGTAAGAATAAATAAGCAAACTTAAAAAAATAAAAGCTTATTGATTCATGTTAAAGAATTGGGACAGCGGCCCTCCCTGGTGGCGTAGCGGGTTAAAGCACTGCACTGAGAATCTAAAGCCACTTCCGCATCAGTTCGATCCCCGCCTGCCCCGGAGGTGACCACATGGTGTGGCAGACCTCTCCTGACCCACCCGCTGCTCCCCTCAGCAGTGTACTTCGTCGATCTGCCTGTTCTGCTCCCCACTCTGTCCCTGGTGAAGCCTCTCACCGCCCCTGAGCCTCTGGCCTGTACCCCAGTTCTGTATGTACAAATAAAATCTTAAAAAAAAAAAAAAAAGAATTGGGACAGCACTTTTTTTCTTGCATTTATAATAATTTTAAAAAAGGATTTCATTTACTTTTAGGAAGAACTGGGGTGCAGGCAAGAGGTACGTGGAGGTAAAAGGATTCACCAGACAAAATAGGGAGCAAAACAGGAAGATGTACTGAAATACACTGCTGAGGGGAGCAGCAGGTGAAACAGGAACGGTCTGCTGTGCCACGTGGGTCAGCTGCTTGGCTGGGGATTAAACTCAGGTTGTCACAGTGGTAGTGCTGAGACTTAACCCCTAAGCCACCAGGGAGACCTTAAAACAGATTTTCTAAAAAATTAAGGTGACACTGGCCCTCCCTGGTGGTGCAGCGAGTTAAAACACAGCACTAAGAAACTAAATCCACTTCAGCATGAGTTTGATGATCCCCGTCCCGGAGGTGATCCACATGGCACGCAGACCTCTTCTCTGCTTCCTTCAGCAGTGTACTTTGTCAGTCAGCCTGTTCTGCTCCCCAATCTGTCACTGATGAACCCTCTCACCACCCCTGCACCTCTGGCCTGTACCCCAGTTCTGTATGAATAAATATATCTTTAAAAAAAAATTAAGGTGACACTAATTTACAACACTGTGCATGATTCAGAAATTTAGGTTCCCACTTCTGCAGAGTATGTTACCATACTACAACCAAAACCTAGGTACCCATAGACCCTTGTGACCATAGTAAAATACCAAGTACTTTACTGTATTCCTTAGGAGTGACATAATACTAGGTTCTCACTAGGTCAAGTATTGTTAGCATACTGCACTCACAAAATTCAATGTCAATCTCTTTTACCATATTATTTGAGCAGTCAGGGTTTCTTAACCTAAGCACAAATGATATTTTAGGTCAGGTAATTTCATTGTTGTGAAAAGTTGTCCTATGCACTGGAGGATATACAGCAGCATCTCTGGTCTTCATCTATAAGATGCCAGAAGGACTCCTCCTTTTCCCCAGTTGTGACAACCAAGAATGTCTCTAGGTATTTGTCTCCAAACTAGGGCATATAAATCACTCCAATTAAAAATCACAGGTCGGGGCCCTCCCTGGTGGCACAGCAGGTTACAGCACAGTACTAAGAAGCCAAAGCCATTTCAGCACGAGTTCGAGCCCCACCCCGGAGGTGATCCACATGGCACAGCAGACCTCTCCTGACCCGCAACACTGCTCCCCTCAGCAGTGTACTTCATCAGTCAAGCCTGTTTTGCTCCCCACTCTGTCTCTGGTGAATCCTCTCACCACCCCTGTACCTCTCTGGCCTGTACCCCAGTTCTGTATGCATAAATAAGTAAATATTAAATAAATTTAAAAAAAACCATAGTTCTAGATATACTATATCATAAGTGGCTGAAAAATGGTCACTTTTAAATCACTTCATCAATTATTAAATTACGCTGAATCATACCTGGATAATGGCTACAGAAGAGCAAAAAACAAAAGCTTCACTCAACTCTCCTCATCCACTTTCAGAGTAATGAATCAAAGTCTTAACTACTTTTAGAGCAACCTACTTAGGTTATTTTAAAAGAGGTCTTAAGAAACGTTTTTCGGTTTAAAAATATATATATTTATTGATTTCAAACTACTGTAATCGTTGTTCTTGTTTAAACTGTCCTATCTTTGGCTAGTAGAACTCCTTCAGAATTGGCTCTTACATCATTCTGATAGGATTTCATTAGTCTTTGGTTATAAGCTTTTTCTGACTTGCCTTGCTTAATCCCTGCCTCAGTTCTGCGATCCACCACTCCTTTAAGAATCCTGGTATTAAGAGATGATAATTGTTTTAGGAGTATTAATTACTACTGAATTATTGCTTCCATGCCTTTTTAGTGTCCAGAGTTAGGAAATCTTGTTATTATTATATATACAGATTTTTTTTTTTTGCAAAAAAAATTCATGGTGAGTTCATGCTGGTATCTCCAATTCATGATAATGAGTTTAAGGTGTTAATTTAATGTATTTTTCATTTGTATTTTCTTTCTCTTTAAGCTAAATCTTTTCTCTTACCACATTCACAAAATTACTTATTTACATTATTCTACAATATTATTACTAACAATAAATAACAGTTCAAATTATGTATAATGAACTAACTTCTAGAAAAGCTTAATTATTAATTATGTAGTTAAAAAACTTGCATTCTAAATCTTTCTCTTAAATTACATACATTGGAGATGTTGTGTGCTTATGAAAATTACAATACTTTTTCTCTTAACATTTCTTCAATCCATAGCAACCATAGCAAATATAGCTAGTATTCATTACTAGACAGCAAAGTGGTGACCACATTGTTAGAAGTTTCTGGGCTCTCCCTGGGGGTGCAGTGGGTTAAAGCACAGCACTAAGAAGCTAAAGCCACTTCCACATGAGTTTGATCCTACTGCCCCGGAGGAGATCCACATGCGCAGCAGACCTCTCCTGACCCTCCCACTGCTCCCCTCAGCAGTGTACTTCATCTATCTGCCTGTTCTGCTACCCTCTCTGTCTCTGGTGAATCCTCTCACCCTTCACATCTCTAGCCTGTACCCCAGTTCCATATGAATAAATAAATCTTAAAAAAAAAAAAGTTTCTGCCTTTGAACAATGAATATAGTATGGTTAATCATGAAATGCATATACAGATACAACTATTTTTACAATAGCGCGTAACAATGAAATGTTCTCAGAGCAACAAGTGAAACTGTATAGCATCAAGTCAAAAGAAGTCAACTAGTATATTGTAAATATTTGCTTGGTGTTAGGAAACTTAAATCATCCATAGTACTATATTTTGTTCCCCATTTATATTAATGTTACATTAATAAAATACAACACATGCATATAAGGGGGCTTGCAAGTATTTGTTTTAGGATATTCATACTTAATTATTTCTATATAATTCATGAGACAATTTGAAAAGAAGCTCTGAAAAACTAAGATAAACAGGCAATGGCACCAAGGAGAAATGGTCCCTTAGGTAAAGCTGTTTATAATGGGGAGATAAAATTACCTGTACTGCTTCCCACTCTCTCTGGTAAATCCTTTCACCCCACCCCCACCTCTGACTAACACCTCAGAGCTTGTATGCATAAATAATCTTAAAAAAAAAAAATACTGTGCTTGACTGCTGGTGGGAATGCAAACTAGTATAACCATTATGGAAAACTGTTTGGAGGTTCCTCAAACTGCTAAACATAGAGCTTCCCTACAACCCAGTAATCCCACTCCTAGGTATCTACCCAAAAGACACAAAAACAGTGATTCAAAAAGATACATGTACCCCCATGTTTACTGCTGCTTTATTCACAATTGGAAAGACATGGAAACAGCCCAAATGCCCAAAAATGGATAACTGGATTAAAAAGACGTGGTACATATACACAATGGAATATTATTCAGCAACAAAAAGAAACACATGTCTTTTGCAGCAACATGGATGGAGCTGGAAAAGATCATGCTTAGTGAAATAAGCCAGAAAGAAAAGGAAAAATACCAGGTAGTTTCTCTCATAGCAGGAATATAACGGAACTGGCGAGAAAATAATGATAATGAACAGCTATATAGAGACATTTCACGGGAGAGGAGTGGGGAATGGGATCAAAAACAGCAGGGGGAGGGAAATGCACTGGTCTATGGTGATGGCACATGGGTGATCTGGTGATGGGAAACCCAAAGAGATTGCAACTGAGATGGAAAAATGCACAAAAATATGTAAAAATAAACTACTATAAAATTAAAAAAAAAAATTCCTGTGCTTGAGAACACACTGCTACCAAAAACAAGTTCATTTTCTTTTTTGTGCTATATACTGGAGTTCTCCTACCAAATAAATGAAATTACTGATTTGTAATATTTCTTTCACTACAGCCCTTTATACTAATGCAACATCAATACAACTCAAAATATAGGAAGAAATATGTATATAAGTGCCATTGAGCAAGTTTCACCTGTGAATTTGATCTTGCCTGCTTGAACGTACTGGAGCCAGACCATCGATTTCATCAAAGAAAATAATTGATGGGCGCATCTGATAGGCCTATGAAGCAGATTCAGTGGTTGCAAATTACCAAGAAAAACATCAAGTATAAATCTATTTTCATTTCTATTTACTTGCAAGTATTTATAAATCTAAATGTAAATTCAAGAACAGTTTTAAGGATTCTGGTAAACTGTGACTTATTTTACTTTCAACTGGAAATATTTAAAACACAAACTTTACTGTTCTAAATGCCTTCGACTTTATATAGTTTTCGGAACACACAAACAAAAACCATTAGACCAACTGTGGAAACAAGACAACTAGCAGCAATGAATGACAAACTTCCTTCATCTCAGAATGAATGAGGAAAAAGGTCTCATAGTTTTAAAAAATCTATTTCAATAAAGTTAAAATAAAGCAGCTCAGTGAGTTCCACACAGATTAAAAAGCATGTAGAGCAATGTACACCTCAGTATTATCTCACAATATGCTACCAAAACAATTTGAGGCATCAAACTGAAAGTCACTTTGGGGCACAACTACAACTTGAATATGAGATATTTTATACTGAAGACTGTTGTTTTCAGTATGAAATTACCACTCTTTCCCTAGGTATGAAGACCTAGGAATCCAGAGAATTTAAGCCCAATTATTCCTTTCTCTTCTTACAATAAAACTCATCATTATAGTATGCTGACTTTTATCTTGACATACAAAAGAAAATTATCTTAAAAAGATTATGTATTTTGTCTATTTCATCTAAGGTAATTTCTATGAAAATTGATTAAATGCAAGATATATTTCATCCTTACATAATAGCATTTACATTGATTACATATCTATGTAGATAAGCTTTAGTATCATACCTGATCAAATAGCAATCGTAGCTGTCTTTCAGACTCGCCTACCCATTTACTCAGACAATCAGCACCTTTCCTCATGAAAAATGCTACTCTCTTATCTCCTTGACTGCACTCATTGGCAAGTGCTCTAGCCACCAGAGTTTTCCCAGTTCCAGGTGGACCATAAAATAAACAACCCCTGTAAAGAAAGTTTAGTTTAGCACTACATTAAAAGATGAATCATTAAAACAGTTAGAAACTGATTTTATTAATGTGCTTACTTAGTAAAACAGTGAGGCAAATGAAGTATTGTTCAATTCACACAATTTAATACATGGAATACTGATACTCTAGAAGTCATAGGAAAACCCTTCATTTGAAATATATATATATAGTTTTTACTCATCCATCATAATCACCATATTACTTTAATCTTGCAAACAAGACACACTTAAAAAGACGTGGGGCCCTCCCTGGTGGCATTCAAAGAGCAAATAAAGCATAACACTAAGAACCTAAAGCCACTTCAGCATGAATTAGATCTCTACCCTGAAGGTGATCCACATGGCACAGCAGACCTCTTCTGACCTGCCCACTGCTCCCCTCAGCAATGAACTTCATAGATCTGCCTGCTCTGCTCTCAACTCTGTCTCTGGTGAATCCTCTCACCACACCTGTGCCTCTGGCCTGTACCCCAGTACTATATGCATAAATAAATAAAACTTTATTTTTTTTAAAAAGAGACAACTTATATAAATAATGGTTGGGTGGTAAGGATTAGAACATAAAAAAAGTAATACCTGGTGAATTCACTGCCATGAGGTAACCTACAGCTATCTCAGAATATTTGCAAAGTTACTCTTTGCTTTTAAGACAGAATTCTGATAAAATGGGTTCTACTCATTCTTTGTAGACATGTCAAAAGAATGTAGAAACAGAATGTGTCAGGGATAAAGTTCTACCAAAGTAGTAAGAGATAAACAGTTTCAGATCATAAAATAACTGCTTTTGAAAAGAAACACTTATTGGCTTCCCTGGTGGTTCAGGGGTTAAAATTTCAGAGATATCACCACTATGGCATGAGTTCGATTCCTAGTCAGGGAGTTAACCCACACATGGTGTGAAGACCTCTCCTACCTTGCTTACCACCACCCTTCAAAGTGTACGTCAGCAGATCTGCCTGTTCTGCTCCCTGTTCACTCTGTCCCTGGTGAATGCTCTATCCCCTGCACCTTTGGCCTACACACCAGTTTTTCTATACAAAGAAAGAAAAATTTAGAATATTAAAAGAGAAACACTCATGGCAGTTAAAGAAAAACAAATGACAAAATAAAAAAGGCAGGGGAAAAGAATCAAAAGTGACAGGTAAAAAACATTGAAAGAACAAAATATACATAAAAAAAAGCAGATAAATGGACAATAAAAACCAGATGGGGAAAAAAAGGAATTATTAACAAATGAAAACCATCAAATGAAGTAAATGTACAAATGCCAAAATAGGAACAGATTTTTAAATTGAAACAACAAATATTTGTGGGATTACACCTTAAAGAAAGTATTAAGGATAACATAAAAAGGAAGAGTGAGATGTTCACGTTGACTTCTGTGATCATAAAGTTAGAGAAAAACTATAGCCAGTAATAGCTGAATCACTTAATGTAAATAGAATCTAGTCACATGATTAAATATCATTCAGCCATTAAAATACAACGAGAACATATCATGTGAAAAAGGCAGGCTGTGCCCTCACTGGTAGCACAACAGGTTAAAGCACAGCACTGTGAAGCAATCTGTAGCAACTGAAGCACAAGTTCGATTTCTAGTCAGCCGGGGAGGTGACCCACATGGAGCAGCAGAAATCTTCTGCCCAGAACACACTGCACAGTCGCTGGGATTAAGTTCTCTCCTGGATATTGTAAATAGGGGAGAAACTACAGCTAACTCTAGCCAAAACTTAGACAATATGAACAAGACTGGTGACCCAGGGGAAATAGGAGGGTGAAGGCAATGGAAGAAGTGAGGGGGAAATTATAACCAAGACCTCCCCCACATACAAATCTAGAACAAGGAAAGAACAAAAAACAACTGAAAGCAACTGGGAAAGCTGAAACATCTGAAAACCACAGAAGGAGAAACAAAGGTTGGGAGGTTGATTTGCCTGGAGGCAAGCAGGATTACTACAGATTCACCTGTGGGAAGGATAAGACTCAGCCTTCTCGCTACTTTGTGGGTAAGGCAGGGGTCTGGCCTCAACCCGTGGGAATACCCGCCCCCCTGAATCAGCCAGAGGCAAGGCAGCAGCACTCCCACCTTGAACAGTGATTCCCTAATAGTGGCAGCCAGTGAATAACACTGGCATGAGCCCTAGCCAGGGAACACCTCCCCTGCTGAAACAGGCCGGTCTCTGCTGTGAACAGGGTGCCTAGTGCTTTTATTACCCTGGGATCTGCTCAGAGCATCACCATTTCTGAAATGGGAAATTTGAGCTAAGCCCCGGGACCTTACCAGCTGAGAGGGGCACAAAAACCTGCGCTCAACTCCCACCATTAGCTGGAAAACGGCAGGGCATGGTCGAAGGAGCTAAAAACAGGTGGAGCTTTGCCCCGAAAGGGGAAATTTGCACTTTTTGCTCTGTAGGACCTTGAGTGTGGAGCAGGGCATGACAGCTTGCACTCAATTCCGTGCCACTAGCTGGAAGAGTGGTAGGGCATAGCTGTAGGTGCTGAAATAGGTGGGGCTCTGCCTGGAACAGGGAAAGTTGGCTTTCACTCCCCAGGATAGTGGGGTATGACAGCCTCGGCTCAGCTCCTGGCTAGTAAAAAGAAAGGCAGCACGGTGTGGCTGTAGCTCACTGGAACATGCCGGCTTTCCCTGCAGTAACAGGCGGCATACAGCATCTGGTCATAACTGAAGTTGGACATGGCAGAGCCACCATTACTAGTGCATAGTACCTCATCCAAATTGGAAACCAGGCCAAGGGTGGGACCACTGCCAAAAGGAGCGCAAAGCCCCCTAAACAAAATGGTAAAAGAAAATTTCCCCACCACCAACAAGAATGTGTATTCCCTACGATAATCACAAGCCAAACTCTCCTGACAAAAACGAAAGAGACGAGAGGCATCACAATCCTAGACTTAAGATATACTACAAAGCCATTAATAATCAAAACTGCATGGCACTAGAACAAGAACTGACATACAGATCAGTGGTTTTGAATAGAAAATGCAGATATAAGCCCACAGGCTTATGAACAGCTAATTTTTTATAATGGAGCAAAGAACATGCAATGATAAAGAAAGTTCAACAAATGTGCTACATGCAAAAAAAATGAAGCTAGACTACTACCCTGCACCATGCAAAAAACCCAACTCAAAATGGATTAAAAATCTAGACATTTAAGACCCAAAACCATAAAATATCTAGAAGAAAAGGTAAGCTAAACAATGCATGACAGACATCTCAATAACATCTTTAAAGATACATCACCCAAAGCAAGATAGTGAAGGAAAGGATAAACAGCTGGGACTACATCAAATTAAAGTGATTCTGTATAGCAAAAGAGACTAATTAAACGCAACAAAAATAAAGTGAAAACCCCATCAAAATATGGCAAAAGAGCTAAAAAGACACTTGCTGTATGGAGGCTTCTCAAAATGCTAAAAATAGAGCTCCATATGACCCAGTAATCCCACTGCTAGGTGTCTACCCACAGGACACAAAAACACTGATTCAAAAGGAACCCTGCATCCCCATGTATATCGCTGCTCTTTTTACAATAGAGAAGATATGGAATCAACCCAAATGCCCAAAAATAGATGACTGGATTAAAAAGTTGTACATGGTAATAATACTCAGCTACCAAAAAAAAAAAAAAACCCCACAAACTCATGCCTTTTGCAGCAACATGGATGAAGCTGGAAGGAATCATGCTTAGTGAAATAAGCCAGAAAGAAAAGGAAAAATACCAGATGGTTTCACTCATAGCAGGAGTATCAAGGACAGGGGAGAAAACAATAATAATAATGAACAACTACATACCAGAGACATTTCACGGGAGAGGAGTAGGGAATGGGATCAAAAATGGGGTGGGGGAGTGCACTGGACTATGGTGATGGCACATGTGTGATTTGGTGATGGGAAGCCCACAGGGTTTACAAATGAGATGGGAAAAGGCACTAAATGATATAAAAAAAGAAAACCAAAAAACTATTATTACCAAATAAAACCCACAACTATAAACCAAAGACATTTTTAGGGGGGTGGAAAGGGAAATGGGATCAGAACTGGGTGGGAAGAGTGCACTGGACTATGGTGATGGCACAGAGGAGAAATGGTGGGAAATCTAAGGGGATTACAATTAAGATGAAAAATGCACAAAATGACAAATGATGTAAAAATTTAAAAATCTGCCTGTTCTACTCCCCACTGTCTCTGATAATTTCTCTCAAACCCCCCCCCACCTCTGGCCTGTACCGCTGTAGATGCGTAAATAAATGTTAAACAACAACAACAAAAAAAATGGCAGGCTAACATAGTCACATAATTTGATTTTTCCTGAAATACACAGATGAGATAAACAAAACAGGCAAGGTCTGTTGCGCCACATGGGTTAACTCCCTGGTAGGTGATTGAACTCAATAGTGGTTGGCTATAGCTTGATAGTGCTGAGACTTTAATCTCTACACTGACAGGGAGGCCCCAGGAGGCAACTCTTAAAATTCCTGTTCCATCATAGTTCTTTTATCTTCCTTTTTCTTACACTTATGCCTTATTGATTAATTCCTTATTAAATCTAGCCCTGATTCATTTTTCTTTACACAAAGTCTTTCCATAAATTGCCCTATATGGAAACATTGACTTACATAAACTTTTAAATTAATAAGCTTTTCTCTATTATAGATGTTATATACAATGTCATTCACAGGTAAGCTATAAAAAATTTTAGATTCAAAAGATAATATTATTAAACAATAGCACTTATTTCTCCCAAGAAGTAATTGCCTAATTTAGTGAATTTAAAAGAAAAAACAAACTCCTCAGTTTACCTTGGAGGTTGAATTTTGAATTTCTCAAAGACTTCTGGATAAAGTAGTGGAAACACCACCATTTCTTTTAGAGCTGCAATATGATTAGACAGGCCTCCAATGCTATCAAATCGTACCTAGTAGCAGGAGAGTAACATTGACATTCTTAAATTTTCAGGCAAAATTATGTCACCCTACTCCCAAACCATGCCCAGACCACAGTCAACTTGAGTAGCAGTATCTTAGTTGCAGCCTGATTATTAAAAACTTGTAAAGATTTAACTTTCTGATGAAAAAAAATTTTAATTTTGAAAACTAAAGCAAATAACATATAATTTAAGAATATGCTTCAAAATACTACTCACCGAAGAATCAAGTTGCATTGGATCAACATCAGCAAGACTTGCTCCAATTTTCATTCGATCTTTATAAATTCCTTTTAATTCATCTTTCCGAAAATTTAGTGGGAGGCATCTGTTTGTTGAAAAAACAAACAAACAAAAATCCTTCAACTCACCTTTCTCTCCATATTCAACATTAGAATATGGACATTTCCCCTAAAAATTAAAACAAATTTAGGCCCTCCTTGGTGGTGCAGCAGGTTAAAGCACTGCACTAAGAAACTAAAGCCACTTCCGCATGAGTTCGATTCCTGCCTGCCTCGGAGGCAGACCTCTCAGGACCTGCCCACTGCTCCCCTCGCCAGTGTACTTCGTTGATCTGCCTATTCTGCTCCCCACTGTCTCTCTGGTGAAGCCTCTCGCCACCCCTGAGCCTCTGGCCTGTATCCCAGTTCTGTATGCACAAATAAATAAATCTTAAAAAAAAAAAAAATTAAAACAAATTTCAACTAAAGTAATCTTGAGATTATGTATTTCAAATTTTTCATTTTCCTTATAGGTTGAAAACTTAAATGTTATACTTATTTTCTGAAGCTTTATTGTAATATTAAAGATAACAGTCAAACGAAAATACCAGTTTTCAAGATGACACAAAACCTTTAAAAAATTTACGGTTCATGGCCCTCCCTGGTGGCGCAGCGGGTTAAAGCCCAGCACTGAGAATCTAAAGCCGCTTCCGCATGAGTTCGATTCCTGCCTGCCTCGGAGGCAGACCTCTCAGGACCTGCCCCCTGCTCCCCTCAGCAGTGTACTTCGTCGATCTGCCTGTTCTGCTCCCCACTCTGTCTCTGGTGAAGACTCTCGCCGCCCCTGAGCCTCTTTACCAGAAAAACCAAAGTACAGAAAGTTTGACATGACCAAGGTCACCAACTACTAAATGGTCAAGCCCGGAATCAACCCAAGTGTCACCAAACATGCAGCAATTTTTGCCATAAAAATCTCCCAGCAAATGATGTAAAAATAAACTGCTATAAAATTAAAAAAAAAAAAAAAATCTCCCAGCAAAATGTTGAGCACACCAGTATTTGGATCTAAATCAACCTTTTCAAGCAAGAGTTACAACTTTCAGAAAAGTTGTGGTAGTTGTCAGAGACTATACCTAGAAGAATCTGCTTGTTTTATAGAAGGAAAAATGAAAATTGCTGATATGAGAGATTAAGATATTTGAATGAGAATGCCTAGGAAGTACCGAACACAAGTAGTAGAATCAGACCATCCTTTTTACCCCAAGTGTTAATTCTCACTTTCCCTAAAATAAAACTGTCCATGAAGAATTTATACTGTTACCTAAGGTATTTTCAATTGTGGCTACTTAAAGAATTCTTAATACAGTTATATAGCATAAAACCCACAGAAGTGGATGCCTATTTCCAAGAATGAAGGCAAAGAAAAATCCATCTAATCTAAGTATATAGCTTTTACTTTAATTCACTGTTATCTAGTAGAAATGTCACAAATTTAGATTTTCTGTTATCCAAACTAAACAGAGAAAAAAGTAAAATTTTTTTTATTCTTATCCAAAATATTATCGTCAATATACAAGCATTATTTTAAAATTTGAGATATTTTACTGTCTTTTTGTACTAAGTCTTTAACATCCAAGAGTGGTTTTTTTTTTTTAACAAAAGTTTATATTTCAATTCAGAATGACTATATTTAAAGAGTTTAACAGCCACATTTGACTGGTGGCTTCCACACTGCTATAGCATGATTCATTTAGGATGCAAAAAATGTGATATAAAGAATGGCTGGTTTATGCCCCTATAAATATGTTCAAATTGCTTTTTCATTTGCCCATACACGCTGGTCAAGGAGAATTCTTGTCCTATCTACTCATATAATAATTGTGAAAACCAAACAAGTTGACTGGTATATGTGGACTTCAGAATAAAATGAGTAAGTCCTTCATACTTCCTTGAGTTCTATAATAAGAATGTATTATCATTATTATTATAAACAAAAATATATTTGAAATGAAAAAATTTAGTTACTCCGTCAAGTTGGTGTCTACCAGGCACTATTTTGAGTATATAATGGTTGTGCAAGCAGATTGTAACCTATTATTAGTTCAGTTAGATATGTGAAACAGGACAGTATGTACAGGTTTGTATGTTAACCCGTTGTGCAATTTTTCAACCACGCTATACCTATCTATCCCAATTATTCAGTTTCTTATCACTTAAAAAAAAAAAGAAAAAAAGCTGGCAATTAAAAAATGTATCAATATGGCATATACCTGTTGATAGCTCTATTACGGCTCCTTTTTCTTCGTCTCTCAAACTGTTGTTCATCTTCAGAAGAAGAAGAAGAAGTAGAGTCACTACTGTGGATTGCATGTCTTCGCCTAAAGTAAAGAAGAAGACTGAAATTATGATGGAGATGGGCAGGGAGGAAAAGTGTAAGACACAAACATAAGAAATAACAATACAAATAAAGTTTAAAGATTAATACATTTGCTGAACCAATAAAGTAATCTGATTGTATCTTTTGAAGGCAATAAAGAAGAAAAAGGACACTGGATAATAAAGAAGAAAAAGGACACTGCAGTAGAACTGATCATAAAACATTCATTAAAATAGGATATGACCCAAGCACAGTGATCTTTAATCTTGATTCATATCAGTTATCGTCAAAGAGAAAGATAGGATAAAAAGGATATGACAATCAAGTTTAAAAAGTATTGTCAAAGTTCATGATAGTTTCACATTTGTAAGGGACTACCTACTTCCAAATGTCAAATAACCTTAAAAGGAGAAAATGATAAATTTTATGTAAACAAAAGTAAGTAAAGGCAGGCTAAAAATGCTAGGAAATAGGGCTCTCTCTTGTGGCACAACAGGTTAAAAAATGTAGCACTATGAAGCTATCTGCAGACTGGAACATGAATTCGATCCCCGGCCAGGGAGGTGACCCACATGGCCTTGCAGAAATCTCCTGTCTCACCTGCTGTTCCCCTCAGCAGTATTTCAGTAGATCTGCTTGTTCTGCTCCTCAGTGTCTACTGAATCCTCTAGCCTGTACCTTAGTTCTTGTATGCATAAATCTTAAAAAGAAAATGGCACGGACAAGCACCGAAACATATTTTAATTTACTTATGTGGGCCCTCCTTGATGGTGCAGCAGGTTAAAGCACAGCACTGAGAAGCTAAAGCCACTTCAGCATGAATTCGATCCCCGCCGGCCCCAGAGGTGATCCACATGACCTGCCCGCTGCTCCCCTCAGCATTTACTTCATCAGTCAACCTGTTCTGCTCTCTGCTCTATCTCTGGTGAATCCTCTCACCGCCCCTGCATCTCTGGCCTGTAACCCAGTTCTGTATGCATTAAATAAATAAAGTAAAAAAAAAAAGAGATGTATTTATTTATGCATAGAGAACTAGGGTACAGGCCAGAGGTGTAGGGCGGTGAGAGGAGTCATCAGACACAGAGTGGGGAGCAGAACAGGCAGATCAATGCAGTATACTGCTGATGGGAGCAGTGGGCAGGTTAGGAGAGGTCTGCCGCACCATGAGGGCCACCTTAGGGGCGGGGATCAAACTTGAACTGAAGCGGCTGTGGCTACCTTGCAGTGCTGCGTCCTAACTCCTTATGCCACCAAGGAGGGCCTGGAATAGTATTTTAAACATAACCAGAGCACTCAAGAGTGGCCAGTGCTAGTGCCTTGTCAATAGGTTAAGGAATATTTTGAAATATTGGTGAAATAATCATGTTATTATGTCACCTTCTTATCCAAAGGGGTTAAACTTGTCCCAGAAACTGAAAATTTAAGCTGAAGAATAAACCTTAAGTTACAAGAGGTTAGTAATTACACAGTAAGAAGTTCCTATTTAAAGGCACCATTTCTAAAGCTTCATTAGAAATATACCAAAAAACCCTTGGAAGAGGCTGCAGTATGATTTCAAAGTTTCCTAACCATTTGCCATGGACACTAAAAGCGATTTTCAGATGATTCTTTGGATGTGTGCTTTGTTTCTGTGCCTAAGTAGCCAAAATAGGACATGAACTATAAACAGAAACGGATTTAAGTAAAAGGGATGAACACAATTACTGTCATTAATGTTGTTAGAAGGGATAAGATATTCATACCACCTAGCAAGAAAGTTAAAGGGGAAAAAAAGGTTTAAACGGTTACTGTCAAAAGTGACAACAAGTGTTAGTGAAGATATGGAAAAACTGATGTGACTTTTTGGCAATGTAAGGTGGAGCAGCCATTTTGGAAAACAATTTGACAATTTTGCAAAACATTAAATATAATGATATGACCTAACAATTATACCCATTGCTCCCCTCAACAATATATTCCAGTAGATCTGCCTGTTCTGTTTCCCCACTCTGTCTCTGGTAAATCCTCTCACCCCCCCACCCCCCACACCTCTGGTCTGTACCCCAGTTCTTGTATGCATAAATAAATAAATCTTAAAAAAAAAAAATCCAGAGTAGGCTATAGAAACAAAAAATAAATTAGTGATTATTTAAGGCAATAAAGAGGAAGGGAGATTGGAGAGTAGTAACTAAATAGTGAAGGGTTTCTTTTTGAGGCAACAAAAATGTTCTAAATTGAATGTGGTGACATTACACAATTCTGTAAATATACTAAAAATCATTAAGTTGTACACTTAAAATGAGTGAGCGATCAGATACATTACATCTCAATAAAATTGTAATGAAACAAAAATTGGGGCCCTTCCTAGTGGCACAATGGGTTAAAGCATAGTAATGCGAAGCTAGCCACAGTCACTTTGAGTTCGATCCCAGGCCAGGGAGTTATGAAATAATGTGGGCACTTTCCAAAGAGAAAGAGAGTTGATTATGTAAATATGAGCACCCCAGAACTAAAGGGGCAGAAAGGTTTCCTACTCTCTCAAAGATATGTTTATAAACACAATTGATGAACAAGCATGTTACTTCCAGAAACAAATCCATTAAAGATGGAAAAAAGAAATTAAATCTCAAAGTAACTGCCAGCCTCACTTCTGCTCACTCATATAGAAACCCGTCCCTAAGTCAGGCAACCAAGGCAGCTGCTCTGGGCATATGCTTGGTGATGATTTCAGAGAGTACTAGACTTCACTCAACTTTTCTAAAGATACATTAAAGGTAGTGACTATTAAGTCTTTCACAATACGGCACCAATGAGAAGTAACAATTGCACGGTCACCTTGAGAGCAACTGGTTATCCCTGACAGGTTGAGCTTGCCTTCCTGATTTTCCATCTCTCCTCAGGTTGTGTGAAAAGGGAGTCATGAATAAGAAATCTAGAATGTATACCTACAATTTTAAGAATCTGAGAATGAAAAGACCTAGGATCACAAGCAGTATTTCATTTTCCCTGAGAGAGGCATCTGTCAGTATTTTCAAGGTCCTGCCTTTCATGACCAAAACATGATCATATATAGTCGTCTGGCTTCTATGAGATTTCAAGAACTGTTGCCATTAACTGCAATCTCTCAGGACTTTCCAGTTTTAGTTCTTAACAAATTAATAGCATGCGGGAAAAAAGTACCATTTCCTATACCACTTTTTATCCCCTGCTGTTTTAGTCTTCACCAACAAACCTGTTTCATTCACAAACTATTACTACCTGGAAAATTCTAACACATCAGAAAATCATTTATTATTTGGGAGAATAAATAAATAGCAAGACTTCTCTCTTTGAACTTAAATATGAGACAAGCGACAAGTGTGGGGATGCAGAAGGAAGAGGAATTCACAAATAATTTGAACAAAAAAAATTAATGTTACCTATATGTAAGAGAAACAAATTAAAAAACAAAGCAAGAAACGAATGTGAGTGTCATGAGCAGTCCGGAAGTTACATAACTTAGAAAGTTTGTCATGACAGGAAGATATGTCTGTAGTGAAGATTAAATGACAGTGTCTATATAAATGCTTAATACCAAGCTTGGAAAACAAAAACACTAAAGCAAAGGTACTGAAAAGTGGAACAATGGAACAAACTAACTTATCATGGTAGTTACTAACACTACCTATTAGTGGAAGCAAAATAAAAACTAGACAGCAATAGTAGGGATCAGAGCAGTAAAGGCATATAGCTAAATCTTTCAAATATATTGAATTCTGGGATTAGAAAGCACTGTGGAATTCTATGCTGATACATCCAATCCTAAAACTCTAGAATCTCACCCTAAGGTAGACACAATTAGGTTGTCATAAATCAATCACTATTTTCAGAATCAAACCTGTTCATTCGTTTACAATAAGGACTTCTTGGTCCTGCAGAAGATAATCGGTATCTTGATCTTGCAGGAGAAGCTGGGCCACTATAAAATATGTTGGGCTTTCTCTGGTGACGAGGTTCTTTAAAAATAAATAAATAAATAAAAAATCACATCTCTATGATATGCAAGTATAATTTTGTTCTTCATCCAAATACTATAGAGGTGCTTCTTTCCATGGAAACACTAATATACTCACATTTTACTGATCATTTATGTCTACAGGGTTGCCACTGAAATTCTGGACAGTGAAGACAGCAACCATATCACACTGGCCATAAACAACCATTATGACTGTACTGATGATTAACAGCTATTATAAGCCCTACACATGTTAATAAATACTGAGGCTCAACTGACATAAATCCAAAGCACCCCTATTTATATATACTACCTAAGTAGAACACTGTGAAATCAGATAGATACAAACATAAAATTTCAAAATAGCACAATTATTTCCTTTAGTTGAGGCTAACATTTAACTTTCTTTGAAAGAACTAACTTCTTTATTAAAAATTTCAGATAAATATGAAAGACAAGGATCATGAGTAATTAAGAAAATGAAGACATAAAAAGAACAGAGAATGAGCAGTTAATATAAATACATTTTCTCCTGGAAAAAATACATATACCACTTACTTTCTGATGGAGCTTGGTAATAAACAGTGGCTTTTCTCTGTCTAAGGTAGTATCGTTTCTGATTATCTTCTTCTCCATCTTCTTCATCTTCATCTTCATCATCATCATCATCATCATCATCTTCGTCTTCATCTTCATCTTCATCTTCGTCTTCGTCTTCATCTTCATCTTCTTGGTCTTCCCCCTCTTCAGATGATTCTAAAAAGCATTTACTTTCAGGATACTCAGCAAAATGTTAATTTTTAGCATTGGGAAAATGGGATTGTCTGCTTATAGATTGTTCATCGAAACAATCTAATTTTTTTGTAACATGAAAGACTTTTGAAAATGAAACAAAAAATTATAGAATTAAAAATAACTAAAAGGGAGAAGGAAGCAAATTGAAAGCTGCTGTAAGTACTGACCTAAAGATTATAATATTGCCACAGGTTTCATAAACATAGAAGACTAAAAGACTTAAGCTTCCAAGTTAATGTAATATGTTGAAAATTTAGTATCACCTCACTTTGCTTTTGCCTATAAACTTAAGTTTACAAGTTTCACATTCTATCAACCCTTCTGGCTGTTGAGCTACTTGTACCAAACTTAAATAACTACTTACAATAGCGTAAACCGCCCTCACCAAACATTTAAAATCTATTTCATTAAAATGATTATAAATCAAGAAAAATTTAACAAATTACAGCAGTTATCAACAGAATAGTAAAACTAAATTTTAGTTACCTTTAAATAAGACAGGCAGAGAAATACGTGTTGTCTGTTGATGTGATGTATAAGCAAAGCAATTTTATTTACTTCAAAACTTCTGATTTCAAGTACTATTCCAAGCAAAATGCTCTTTAAAGCTCTTCCCTGCTATCACTTTCTTCCTTTGAAATTATGACTAATCCTGATTTCTCACAAACTACTGCATATTCTAAATTAAAAGTCTATTTCCTATTAAATAAAAATAAATGAAATTCAAACCCACAGGGGACTAACCTGCACTGCCTTCTTGATTGTCGGTTGTTTCTTCATCAGTTCTTTGAATATCTTTCTGTTTTCCTCTTGTGTACATATTAAGATCCCCCTAAAACATTTGAAGAAATACCATTTAAATTTCAGTATATTAAAAAAAAGAGTTCAGGACCTCTCTGGTGGCACAGCAGGTTACAGCACAGCACTAAGCTAAAGCCACTTCAGCATGAGTTCGATCCCTGCCCCGGGAGGTGACCACATGGCACAGCAGACCTCTCCTGACCCGCCTGCTGCTCCCCTCAGCTGTGTACTTTATTGATCTGCCTGTCCTACTCCCCACTCTGTCTCTGGTGAAGTCTCTCACTGCCCCTGCACCTCTGGCCTGTACCTCAGTTCTGTATGCAAATAAATAAATCTCTTTTATTTTTTTTAAATATTAAAAAAAAAAGAGTTCAGTAAGCTCCTATATAGCGTAAAAAGAAGCTATTAAGTGCTATAAACTTTTACAACTCAAGCAATGACTAGTGACTAATCAAACAAATGCTGAACAAAATAATAAACAATTTAACCAATGATTAAAGTAAAAGGGGTCAATCTAGAGATTAAACCATTCTCTTAATGGAAGAACATACTTCTTCTGTTTCATTGAACACTCCCAAGTCTTCAAGTTCTCTCATTCGCTGTCTGCGCATCTTCTTCATGTCATCCATTTTTTGAAGTACAGCTTCAGCAGTGCTTGAAAAAAAATTGTAATAAATATAAGCTAGATTTCTAAGAGTAATAAAATTTAAGATTTTAAATTAAATTGAAATATAAATTTAAGATTGAGTATAAATATAAAGTTGGATTGAGAGATATAATAATTTTATAATCCCTGTTTAAGTTTCTTCACAACCCAAATAAGCATATAGCATTATCAGAAAGTCCAATAAGGATACTTCATGTGCTACACTAACCAAAAGCAAATATTCACGCTAGTAAAAATTCATGTTTTCTCTCAAGTATAAATCATCTTGATTTAAATATTTTACTTACTTTGTTATAAGTTTATCAAATAGTACAGACTGGTTCACAGCACCATAACGACTTCTAATCCTACAGCTGCGGCGGACTTCTACATCACCATTCTCTTCATGCAAGTGTTTTGTAGTTTGAACAATGTTTCTAGTCCTTGATGATGAAGTAACTGGAATCACTTTATCTTCATTGATGTATACATAAAAATAAGTGAGAAGATTTACAACAGCAATTGTAAATTGCTAAAATTGTTATAGAACAATTTTAATATGAACTGAGTTAGCTACACTTTCCTATAACAAAACTTTCTTAAAAATAGTAAAGTGTGGGCCCTCCCTGGTGGCGCAGCGGGTTAAAGCACAGCACAAAGAAGCTTAATCCATTTCCGCATGAGTTCGAGCCCCGCTTGCCCTGGAGGAGATCCACATGGCAAGGCAGACCTCTCCTGGCCCGCCTGCTGCTCCCCTCAGCAGTGTACTTCATCTATCTGCCTGTTCTGTACCCTGTATCTCTTGTGAATCCTCTCACCCTCTGCATCTCTGGCCTATACCCCAGTTCTGTACGAATAAATAAATCTTTAAAAAAAAAATAGTAAAGTGTTATGACATCACTTCAATAAATAAATAAATGAGGAACCAGGCCAAATTAAGGTAGGTAATAAAAGATCTGGACTTTATACACCAATTTAGCTCCCCAAACAAAAATTAGAAAAACAAAACATACACCTACCATATAATCCAGCCATTCCACTTTTGAGAGAAAAGGAAAGATATAATACAGACTTATACACACAATGTTCAAAGCATTTTTCTGATAGCTTCAAATGTCAATCAAAAGATAGACAAACAGGGTCTCCCTAGTGGTGCAAGACTCAGCAGAATGAAGCTATCAGCAACCACTGCAGCACAAATTTAAACCCTGGCCAAGGAGCTGCTGACCCACATGGTGCAGCAGACCTCGCCTGTCTTACCCGCTGATCCCCTCAACAGTGTACTTCAGTCTGTTCTGCTCCCCACCCTGTCTCTGGTGAATCCTCTCACCCACTCTTGCCATCCCCTGCACCTCTGGCCTACACCACAGCTCTTGTATGCATAAGTAAATAAATCATAAAAAAAGAATAAATTGTGGGAAACATCCTAAATGCATCCACGAATGGATAAAGACAACATGTGAAGAAAGCAGGAGAGGATTTTTAGAGTAAAGGGAAGATGTTGGCTAAAGAATACAAACTTCCAGCTATATGATGAGTAAGTTCTAGGCATCTAATATGTAATGTAAAGTTACAGTAATACTGTATTATAAACTTAAAAGTTTCAGAGAAAAAAAATCTTAAATATTCTCATCACCAAAAAAAGAAATGATAACTATGTGACATGATACTGCTGTTAATCATTTTTCAATAGTTAAGACTAGCAAATCAAACTATATTGTATGCATGCCTTGAACGCATTATATATTGTTGTAATTTTTGTAGTACAGAATTGAAGTATAGTCATATAATGGAATACCACTCAGAAAAAAAAGTAAAAAAATGGTTGGGATACTCAAATTATGCTTAAAGTCTGACAAGAATGTGTATTATATAATTCCACAGATATAAAATCCTAGAAAATACAAGGTAGTCTACAATAACAGAAAGAAGACAGGTGGTTGCTCAGAAAAGCCAAACTAGGGGAGCCAAAAGGGACTACAAAGGAAATTTTATGAAGGCAATTTTGGAAGGCAATGATTATCTTTAGTACCTACTGTGATGATGATTTCACATCATATGCTTATTTATGAGTAGGTTGTTTTATGCACCTCATATACCTGTAAGCAAAATATTAATTGTATGTTTTAAAAATCTGAAATTTCTTTAACATCACTTACCTTCTTTGCTCTCTTCCTTTTTTTTGTCTGCCTGCTGTCTGGCCAACTGTCTACATAAAAAAACATATCAAATAATTCAAAGAAATTGGATATAACTTGAGAATATCTATGCTGATCTGATTGTGGCTAAACAAATTCTAAGAAGGCAGTTGTGAAATTCATTTACTCTTAGCTAAACAGAATTAAATGCAAAGCCTCTTACCTTGAGTAAATGAAATCTGTAATCTGAGTTTTTATGTACAAATGGATTAAGTACTGGGCAAAAAAAAAAAAGACAATATGTTTTATATCAGAGGGCTATTGTGATTTCACATCTTTGAGGAATTTATACCTATAAACAGAACTAATTTCCCTAGTGATATTCCAATTTCCTTCTGAAAACATTTGTTGGCTAGAATTTTTATAAACACAGGCAAAACCAGTCCCATTTGTGAATCACATATTCTACCTACAAGCTAGCAGACATAATCTATTTAATTTTAAAGAAAAATTTCCAGTGCTTAAAAAAAAGTACCTATCCTCCATTCATTTTTTTTTTTTGAGAATTTACTAAACAAAACAGTAAATCTCATTGACTTATTTTTAGTAACTCCATTTTCCTTACTACTTGGATAGGCTGAATTTTTATTTGCAAATGAACTAGTTATACACATGCATTTAAAAATACAATACTGTAAAATAAAATGAAACCATCTTATCCAGAAGAGTTAATTCATATATTCTTCTAACACTGTGTGTCATCAAACAGAAAAGAACCAAGAACAAAAATAAAAACCTTTGCAAACTCCATTTAGAGGTCCAGGATTATCATGTTCAAAGGCTCATTATAGACTTTTCTTTTAAAGGAGCCACTCTCTATTTAGATCTACACTTTTATAATCCAAGTCCCTATAAGATGCTACAGACATAATGATTAGAGCAGTTTTTTTGAGTCTCTTTTCCTTTTTCTGCCCGCATGGAAAAGGGAGCATGCTTCACTTGCAAATGTTGATAAACTTTTCCCGTACCGTACTAGTAAAATAACTCCAACATTGAAGCAGAAAAGCTATCACAGAGAGAACGAATAGGCATGGCTCTGTTCCAAAACACAATCTCTGGGGGCCTCCCTGGTGGTACAGGGGTTAAGACTCAGCACTATGAAGTTATCCTCAGCCTCAGCACGAGTTCAACCCTCAGCCAGGGTGGTGACCCATGTGGAGCAGCGGATCTCTCCTGTCTCACCCACTGCTCCCCTCAGCAGTATATTTCAGTCAGTTTGCCTGTTCTGCTCCCCATTCTGTCTCTGGTGAATCCTCTCACTCCTCATGCCCCCACTCCTTTGTCCTGATCCCAGTTCTCGTATGCATAAATAAGTCTTAAAATCAGACCAATAGATATTGTCCTCACAAATCTTTGTTAATTACCTAACAATCTCAGTCCATTAGTCTTTGAGTCCCAAATAGTTGAATGCAAAGGAAGAAAAAATAAAATCAGAAAGGAAGATAGTACTACATTCAGGCAAGCAGGCAACAAATACCACAGAGAGTATTAATAGCCCAGTAAGAAACAGGAAAACTACATAAAGCAGAATTCAAAAATACTGTAGGCCATTTTACATAAGGTCTCATACAAATAGCTCCTCCTATTTTCACTATGAAAAATAATAGTCTGAGCAGCAGCTTTCCTACCCACCTGTAACCACACAGGGGTTGCCTACACCAGTCTCCTTCCTTTGCAAGACAGCTCTCCTCCCAAGACTGCCCACCTGAGACTATGCAGGCCTCTTTTTTAACAAACCTGTCCCTTCCAGGGACAACTCTTTCTGCTTACTGTGCTCAAGTATCCTTGACTTCCCTTTTTATAATAAACAGAGCCAAAAACAAAAACTATGCTGTGTCCTTTGGAAAGGTTGCTTTCGAACCACATCAAAACAAGAAATTCATAAATGACTCAGAATTGACAAACTGGATGAGTAGTTAGGAATACAATAATGACCATTCTGAGTTAATGTTTTTGTACAGACTATGAAGTACCACGTAACAAATTATGGTCATAGTCTCTAGCTACTCAAGTTCTTAAGGGAACAGATTCCATCGACATCAATGAACTTTGTCAATTATACTCATACATTTCACAAATGTCTCCACACCAAGGGGAAAAAAAAACTATATACTTATTTGCAAAATTTTAATAATTATTTTGATGATTTTATTTCAAAGAAATTACATTTGATGTAATGTTCACTATTAGTCAAGAATATATTTAAAATTTAAATGCAAGTCTTAAATTACTACTTTTAGAAGTATTCTGAATTAACAGTCAGCCACCATGTATTACCTTGTAAAATGTCTGCCATTAGTATGTTTCTCTGTTAGCTCCATATTCTTATCAAAACTAGAATTTGAGGAATTCTGTGCATTCTTTTTCAAAGATCTTAAGGCACGTGTCCGGTGGTATGTTTCAACTTCTTTAACTGAAGATCCATCCTGTAAGAAAAATTAAGGAAATCATCCTCCCTGGTGGCGAAGAGGGTTGGAGCACTACACTGCGAAGCTAAGCCAAGCCATAGCTGCTTCAGTGCAAGTTCAATCCCTGCCCTGGAGGTGACCCACAAGGCACAGCAGACCACTCCTGTCTCACCCGCTGCTCCCCTCAGCAGTATACTTTGTCAATCTGCCTATTCTGCTCCCCCTCTGTTTCTGGTGAATCCTCTCGCAGCCCCTGTGCCTCTGGCCTATACCCCATTTCTGTATGCATAAATAAAACCTGAAAAAAAGGGGGGCTCTCCCTGGTGGTGCAACAGGTTAAAGCACTGCATTATGAAGCTCTCCAAAGCCACTGCAGCACAAGTTCAATCCCGGCCAGGGAGCTGAGCCACATGGTGTGACAGACCTCTCCTGACCCGTCTACTGCTCCCCTTAGCAGTGTACTTAGTCAATCTGCCTGTTCTGCTTCCCCCTCTGTCGCTAGTGAATTCTCTCACCAACCACACCTCTGGCCTGTACCCCAGTTCTGTAAGCATAAATAAATAAATCTTAAAAAAAAAAAAAAAAGAAAGAAAATCACCCAAGCTTTTCTTTAGTCAATATCCTCAAGTAAAACTTTAAAGAATTTTCTCTGAATACAGTTGTTAACAACTGTTTGTGTAGAATAATTTTGTATCTGCTCACAAAACATTAGTTTAATATCTAAGAATAATGATCAGTAATGGCTAAGAAATGGCTAGGTATAAGATTTACTGATGGTTTATAACAAGTGTTCTAGAGAGTGAAATTTTCCAAAACTGATAAAAAAAAAAAAAAAAAAAAACAACAGTTCAGTAACAGAAAGTCCTGGTGGCACAAGGGCTTGAAGTGCAGCACTATGAAGCTTTTCAAAGCCACTGCAGCATCGATCCCCAACTACAGAGGTGACCCACATGGCATGGCAGACCTCTCCTGTCCTACCTACTGCTCCCCTCAGCAGTGTGTCAGTAAATCTATTTTGCTCCCCACTCTGTCTCTGGTGAATCCTCTCATCCCTTGCATCTCTGGCCTGTACTACAGTTCTTGTATGCATAAATAAATAAATCTTTAAAGAATATATAAAGTAGTCCATATTTTAAGGCTACCGAAATTAAACACGCACACACACCTTCCACCACTACCTGTCATGAAACCATTGGCAGCAACCTTATAATAGCTGGTCCATCAGAATTGGAATTTTCATGAAGATGCCAAATAGCAGTTATTAGTACCAATTTCACCCATAAAAGCAACAATTAAAGTTAGAGATTGTTTAGATATGTTAATCTACTAGAAAAATCACAGGTCTACATAACTTTATTTTAGCTCAACAGACGAGAGGCTCTCTAGTGGGTTGCTTTATAATTATAATATAATGATCAGAGGCTCTATAACTAAGTCTTCCAAACTCTATATCCACATCGCTGAAATATATAAAAGAATTTTAATTGGAATAGAAGGCAAAAATAACAATTATTTGATTCTACTCTGAACTACAATTTTAGGAAAAAATAGGCAGTACTTGGGGAGGGGGGAGTAATGAAACTAACAGCTTCCCTTCCCCTCCAGCTGGTTCTACTCAGTCATTTCCTTTTAATTTTGTTTCAGGCAGAAAATGTGACTGCTCACAAGTAAAATACAGGTACTTACACTGAAGGGTTTGTTTAAGAATCAGACAGGTACTTTATAAAATATTAAATACTGTTCATTACATGTGTGAATTGTTACATCTTGATCAGTGTACTTACATCTAAGGACGTTTGAAAAAGAAAACCTACATTTTAAGGTAGGTATCTCATTAGGAAAAGTTTAAGAAAATGTACTTTTAGATTCTCAATTTCAGTAAGTGCTTTTTCTTAAAGCGGATCTGCCTGACAAGGCACCTTTACACAAGGCATCCTTTCACTGACCCTCCTCCCATTTTACAAAAAAAAAAAAAGTCCTCTCGTTCTGAATCTTTCTTACTACTGTGGATTGCCTGAAGGCATCAAAAATCTTCAAAGGCATAGGTGTTAAGAAAATTAATGACTAAGCTTGGACAAAAATCTTTTCCTTTGTTAGTGGTTTACAATTCTTTGCTTTCAAAAAAATTGAAAGGAGACCTAATCAAGAAAAGAGACCACTAAAAATAGATTTATATATATGCAGATGACTGTCAGCATATAAACTGGAAAAACTGAATGAGTGGCACTGCTAAACAAGACTCTCTACTACTATCTGGTTATTCATATAAACAATGTTTCTCAGTGCTTACTTATATGGAAACATTGAAACTGATGCAGAAGAATACTGTCTTCAGCAACAGACTCACTAGCAGATAGATGAACTAATTGGGTAAGAGGATGGTCAACCATATGAGATCCTAAGGAACCTATTTTCTAATCACTTCTGAATTAAAATAGAGAATGTATTTTTTGTTTAGATCAATCAACCATTAATACGTATAAATAAATCCACAAAACTTTTATTTCTTGAAACCTTGTAGTGACAGGAAAGTGGGGGTAAACTTCACTTTACAAGTATGAAATGGTAATTAATAAGCTCAAAAATTTGATAAAATACAGGGGGTTAAGTAGATTGGAGAAAAGTAAAGGTAAAATTTCTGGCTTCTAAAAGAGCTTGTTAATATATTATTTTTTAATACACGACAAACATCAACAAATATCTGTAATTTTTTTATTCCAGTGAATACATGTTAAAGTCTGATATAATTTTTTAAAGTCAACACTAAAAATTATATTCTCTGTAACAATTTAAACTAATGGTGGGTTGGGGACCTCAGATGGCAGTTTTAAACCCACAAGAAAGAGCATATGAACTGGGAAATGATTTCTTGAGATATGACACCAAAAGCATACACAGCAACAAAATGTGCAAGTCAGACTTCATCAAAATTAAAAACTTTTATGCAAAGGACACTATCAACAGTGTGAAACAGAAACTGATCGAACAGGAGAACAGGCTTGTAGTCACATGCTTGTAAATTACATACAAAGGACTGAGATTATATATATATCCTAAAGAACAATAGCAAAGATGGGTAAAGGACTTGAACAGCCATTTCTCAAAAAAAGAAAAAAAAAAGCAAATGACCAATAAACACATGAAAAGATGCCCTATACAGGTCATCACAGTAAACACAAATAAAAACCACACTGACACCACTTCACAAGCAATAAGATTGTTATCAAAAACAGGAAGTAAGTGTTGATGGATAGGAAAAACTGGGACCCTTGCACACTGTCATGGGAAAATACAATGGTACAGCTACCATGGAAAACAACAGGTTAATTTCTCAAAAAATTAAACATATTATACCATACATATAATCCTAGCAATTCCATTTCCTGGTATACACCAAAAAAGTGAAAGCAGGAACCTGAACAGATTATCTGTATACCTATATTCATAGCAACATTATTCACAATAGGCACAAGGTGAAAGCAATCCAGTGGTTTATCACAGGTAAGTGGATGAACAAAATGTGGTACATACCAATACAACAGAATATTATTCAAATTTAAAAAGAATTTTTTTATATAAAAATAAATGTTTTAGTTTCTTTTGAACTGGAACAGTTTTCAGCCCTTCCTGAGTTTTCGTGACCTGGGTTTTCCTGATGATTACACACACATCTACATACATATGTATATATGTTACATCAATCTTATGTAATATGTATACATCATTCTTCATTTTGTACATTTTTTCATCTCAGTTGTAATCCCTGTGGACTTCCCACCACCTCTCACCCATGTGCCATCATCAGAGTCCCTTGTGTTCCTCCCACCCGTTTTGATCCTATTTCCCTTTACCCCCGTAGAATGCCTCTGGTTTATAGTTGTTTGTTGATTTTCGTTTTTACTTTATTACAGTTTTTTTTAACACCTTATACTACAACATGGATAAATTTTGACTTTCAAAATGAAGTCGGTCAGTCATTAAAAGACAAAAGATTGTTTCCTCTTATGTGAGGCTCCTAGGGCAATCAAATTCACAGACAGAAAATAGAACTTTGGTTGCCTGCCTCTGAGAGGAGGGAACAGGGTTAATGGATACAAAGTTTTATTTTTGAAAGATGAAAACATTCTGGAGATAGAGGATGGTGACTACTTCAGAAGAATGTAAATGTATTTAATGCTACACAACTGTACATTTCAAAATGATTAGAACTTATGCCTTATTACAACAAGAAAGTAAATGTCATTTTCCTGGGGATAACAGAAAAGGTTTGTTTTCTTAGAAAAAAGGAAAGGGTGATTATAATAGGGGGAAAAGATTCCCTGAGAAATTTGGAAAATTTAATCTCAGATGTAATAGAAGTGAATCTCTAATTTGTATAGTGAGTTTATCTGTTGAATTCACCTTCACTAAATAAACAGTAGACATCAGACAGGCTCTCCTTTAATGGTGAGGAAACTATAGTAACTATACCTGAGAGGAAAAATCCTATATTGTGGGGAAAAAAAACAAGGATGCAATGATATATATTTTTAATAATTAAAAAAAATTACAAACAAAAGAGAAAAGAAAGGTTCTTTTCTGTGTATAGAGGAAAAAAGTCACCTATAGAGGTACAAGTGAGTCACCCATGTATACACTGGGTAGCTTACAAATATTGTTAACACAATTAAAAAAACAATACAACAAAACTAAACAGAAGCAATCAGACAGCTATAATTTAGAGACATTCTGCAGGGAAAGAGGTAGGGAGAGGGTAAAAAAATAAGGGCAGGAAGAACACAAAGGACTAAGATAATGGTGGGTGAGTTAACTGGTGGTGGAAATTCTATGTGGACTCCATCTGATGTAAAATATACACAAAGAAATTAAATGTAATTTTTAAAAAATATCATTAATATTCAACATCCATTTATGTTTAAGGCCCTTGAAATCCTCAGAATAGAAGAACATACCTCAACATAATGAAGTTCAGTAAGGTAGCAGGATATAAAATCAACACACAAAAGTCAGAGACCTTC